GATCTCATGTACATGTGTGCACACATGTTTCTCGCATGTGTGTGTGTGTGTGTGTGTGTGTGGGAGTGTTTTTTTTAGACGTGTTTCTGGCAAGTGCTCCGGCACTCACCAGCCAATAATTGCACATAATTGCATCCATTTGTGGGGGAAAGGCAAAGATGAACATTAGTGAGATCTGTGACATCGCTGGCTCAAGATTAAAGACAGACTCTCTCTCGGCGGTGTAATGTCGCGTGACACGTGATGTCAGGTGGCATGTGGTGGTTACTATGGTGACCGGTTGCACTTGCACTTGTTCGGCTTTGGTGAACACTGAGATAAGATGAGGTTGGAGGTGTTTTTTATAGGTTTGTTGCCGTCCGATCCCCATTAAAAACAAAAACAAACAGTGACAACAATAAAAATCCACTGGAGACGAAGCCTATTCCTCTATAGAGCTCAAAAAAACACATTAATGAGCCACACACAGCTGATTGTTTATTTATTACAATGAACATTGGCTCTACATGTTTTATCTTTTTCTTCAATATGGTAATCTTTAGGTATCTGTACAACTTTTTACTTTTTCCCTACTATATTTTTACTCAAATATCTTTACTTTCTACTCCTCACAGCTTCAAAACTTTACTGTTACTTTAGTGAAATTATTAATTTCTGCACGTCTTCCCAACATCAAGACCTGTGCATATCACACATGACAGATGTAACAGGACAAAAAAGAGGAAATAGACGTGAGGGAGTAGTTTTTACTTTTATACTTGAAGTACATTTCAAAGAGCCTGTACTTTCACACTTTTACTTGAGTAAAGAAGTTGAATCAATACTTTTACTTGAGTAAGATTGTGTGTATCTTTGCCACCTCTGCCACATTCATTGTGCTGCTGTAAAAACTCATCACTCACTCACCAAATGTGGATTGACAGTTGGAAGTAGTCCCAAACAATTTCACAACTACAGTATCGATTATAAATTGATAACTTTTTTAAAAAATCTACCTACATTAGGGACCTGTGTCTACAGATTTAACTTCATAGGAGGACGTTCAGAGATGGACTAACACATTGTAGATTTTGGGCTTTTATGAGATTTGTTAACAATAAGAAAAACAAAACATCTGGTTTATCTTTTAAGCTGGGAAACAGGCCAGTGCAGCCATTTTTACACAGTATTTTTAATCAGATTGAGCTTTACGCTGCTATAAATTTCCTCTGTGCGTGGTAGCTCACCTGGTAGAGCTCCTGTCTGCAGCCATCGACTCCGACCTGTGGCTTTTTGTTGTCTGTCATCCTCTCTCTGCCCTCCTTTCCTGTTGCGCTTCAGCTTTCTCTACCAATTAAAGGCAATAAAGAAATGTGAAAGATGAGCATACATGAGTCAAATAACACCATTTGACACTCAAACTTTTTACCAATACCAATAACGCAGTGGTAACTGAGGCAGTAACACATCAACATAAACTCAGCAGTGCTTTATTAACGAGGCACTTTAGAGTTGTTAACACCCAATCTGAACCAAGAAGAAGGTGCGCCGCACATTACATACACACCATTTACCTAATTTCATCGCTCCTTGATCCTCATGTGATCAATTAATCAGATCTGACAGTATTAAGTATATTGGAGGACTATAAGGACTCAGGGGAGCAAGGAAGCTTCCCATAGGAGGCTTGAGGTCAACACACAAAGAACCTAAAACCAACTCAGGTGTTTTGGTATTCCCAACTTTAGGTTTTCTTATGTGCCATTGTGTTGAATTAGTGGATATATGTTAAAAAGAATCATAAGAAGTAGAATTATTAATTGTCTATCAGTGTCATTTATATATGTAATAACAACATATATAAGACACTAAATTATTCCTTCACATTTGTGGCATTTCAATCATAAATCTTTAAATAGGGACTTTACAAGTAGGACTTCAATAAATGGAGACATCAATAATTAATGAATACAAAAATGCTTCGCTGCCAGTAGAAATGGCTCGTGTGCATCCAGTGTTTAAGCAGTGAATATTTCAATCTAAATTTTACTCATATAACTCCAAATCATAACCGAAGTTATCTCAGTTAGTCTCAGTTTTCATAAAGAGCAGGTCCAGACCGTACACGGGAAGGACCCTTAAATGTAGTTGTGCTTCGATCTGTACACATTCTGAATAGAGGTTTATTGTGCATGTGCGGATGTTTTAAAGAGACAACACGCAGAGGCAAATATCTGTCACGTAGGAGGACTTCAATAAAACAATATGAGCACACAAGCAGAGTAAATATGCACCCTTGATATCATCTGAATAGTAGATCCCATTTTCTGTGGAAATACGGACCAGGAAACAAAAGACACAGTGGAGCAGCTGATGATGACTGACAGGTGATCCTGCTGTGTCGGCGTCATCAGAAAACTGACGTTGGTTCGGATGACGCGTAAGAGGGAGAGACGTCTTTTCCCCTTGTGTCTTTTCTTTGCATTTCTCGCCCACGTTTTGAAGTGGGAAGTGAAGACAAAAAGGAAAAAAGACGTTGAGTGAGGCAAGCGTGTGGACGAGGGAGGGAATTTGGCAAGCACACCTGAGGAATCCTCAACTATTTCTGGAAATTGTAAGAGAACGTAAAAAGTAAGTTTTGATAGCCTCTCTCCCTCCTCCACTTGTCATCTGGGGCCTGTCGGTCTGCTCATTATCAAAGCCTTGCAGTCTGTGCATGACCTCCACAGCTCTCTGTACACTTCCTCTCTCTCTGTTTGCCCTTTGAGCTTCTCTGTCTGCTGAGTGTGAAACGTGGCAGCTTCTCAGACCTGTTTTATGTGTCCAGATACAAACAAAGCCAAACATACAACAATGCACAATAGACCGAGCTGTTGCCAATATATATATAACGCCAACGCTCACCAACTGGACTCCATTTCCTCGATTCGAAATCTGCAAAAGGAAAATAAAATTAAATTGAAAAGCAGCTCCCAATACTGATTGGAGAGGAGCAGAAGAGGCATCAAATGGTTTCGGAAAAGGGTTGTGGGTTGGACAGTTGAATAATTGGCTGAAGCACCTTATGAAAGAACAGCTTGGAAAAAAATAAGTGCAACAAATTAAAAATCATAAATAGCTGAAAATGTCACACAAAGAGGAGTGGCAGGGTTGCTGGATGGTTTATGGACGGTTGACAAGATCCTAAAGTACCAAATACCAGAATCTGATACATAATCTAAGTTTTGTGGGGGTCTTTAACATTTGGGCATAGATAAATAAATAATAACCAGGTGTAAATTGTAAATCCAATACGAAGCAAGAAGTTAATACATAATCTAATAGAGTAGTAGTTAACGTAGAGTGTAGTCCTTGAGTAAGAGTACAACAGTATTATCAGCTAAATGTACTAAAAGTATTTGATTTATCTGAGTACTCTTTCTGCAGAAAAATGACATTATTATACTTGACATTATTAGATTGTTAATACACATTTTCATCATTTTACTCTTTGAGCTCGTCTAGGTGGATCTGGTTTAGTCCATTGGTTCTCACTTTGGGGGTCGGGCGCCTTCAAAGGCTCACAAGATGAATCCGAGGGGTCGTGAGATGATTATTGGGGCAGAAAACAGGAATAAGTACCAGGATAATTTGACCCCTTTTTGAGTAGCTGTAAAAATTAAAACCATGTGTTTTAGAGGGGAAATGTCTGTTTGGCAGAGCTGTTAACAACTCTTGACTAACAAGTGCTAACAAGTGGATAAATGGTTGAAATTGTTAGATAAAAGTAATGGATAGGTTAGTATTAGGTATGTATGCAACCAAACAGACCTAAACATCGACTATTATTCACTATTATATTATTATTAAAGGGCTGTAGGGATACACAAACAGAGAAGGTTGGCAACCACTGACTTGGGATGACTCACAACCCTCCCACCATCTGAGGAGTTTAGAGGAGAAATGCCTCTTTGGTAGAACTGCTAATAGACTCAGACACCTTTTAAATGTGGCAAGGGACCTCGACCAGATACTGCTTTTTGCTGCAGGTCAGAAGCCAAAATGCTTCACAACCTCTGGTGTAATCTGTAATAGTAACTATAATGGATGTAGTGGAGTAAAAAGTACAATATTTCTCTCTGAAATGTGGTGGAGCATAAATAGAAATACTCAAGTAAAGCAAATACCTCAAAATTTTACTTAAGTACTTTAATACTTCTGTCGATTAACAAAACCATTAATCAACTAATTGTTTAAATTCTACAGTGTATTTTGTAGCATAATGTTTAATGATTAAAGGTCATTTTTATTTCAAATGTTGCCCGATATGTCACCATGAAGAGGAGGGTGTCTGTTGGTGTCCATGGTAAAGGCTCACAGTCCCACAGTTCACCTGGTTCTTTGCACCCTCCTCCTTAGTTCAGATTTCTACTGCTGTGAGCGTGACTTCATGTGGAGGGACGCTCTGGTTCCTCCCCCGGTGGCCCTTCCTGACAGTTTGGTAAACGGCCACGAAGTGCCGCAGAGAGGGAAGCCCTTCTGGCACTTTGTTCCCTCTCTGCTGGGCGACTGACGGCTTGGACACGCAGCAGAGTGCGTGAGCAGTGCGTGACAGCCGCCTCGCTGAACTTCAGTACTTTTTAATATCCTTCTCTGGACTTATGTGAACGTCTTTCTCATTATGTCATATTGGATCCAATAAATGTGTGTTTAATTAATTATTAAACGATGGACTACGGCTGATGTTGAGCGTCCATTTTTGTTCTCATATATTCAAGCTTTTAGAAAAAACTGAGTACTGTAATTTGAATGTTGAATGTTTACAAGTTGCAAATTAATTATGGATACTATATATTATAAAATGCCATTAATCATTGAATATATATGTGTATGTTTTACAGCAACAAAATGTGGATTCTTTTCCTAAATGATAGTTTTACATTTTGTTAGTTTTACTTTTTCTGTTTTGTCCAACACAAAGTTTGTCTGTGTGCATGTGTCTGAATCATGATTGAGCAGCTGAGTCACTGTCTTTGTTGTAGATGAAATCAGTCTGGAGGGGATGGTGGTGCACAGAGCTGAATGCAGGCCGGTCGTCAATGACAACTACATGAAGCTGAAGAAGTGAGTGAACTTTGAAATTGTTGAGCTCAGAGCACAGTGAATGTTATTGTGCCTCCTGGTTGCATTGGGTTCCAATAACGGGCAAAGAATACGATATAATGCACATTATAATTCAGCAAATGGATGTTTTAAACAAAAATACCCTTCATAACATAACATAAATCCAATATTCCCTTCAATTTACACCCCTCAAATAAGAATAATTCTTAAAATTAGTGTAATAATTACAATAATAGTCAGGCCAGCATTTGTTTTTGCTGTTTTAATTAGCTTTTTTTTTTTTTCTCCCACCTCTGGACAACACATAAAATCTGTTCAAGTGTTGTAAATTAATTCTGACGGGAGCAGAGAAGTAGACGGAGAGGGGGCATCGCTGCGACTGTTTGTGTACGCTAAATACTCGACTCCACTCTGCCTTTTTCAAACGGTTTCTGTCTCCTCTTCATTGGAATCCGTTATTCCAGCTAGTTAGTGGATGGCATTGCTATAGCAACCGCATCACTGTGGCAGATGCACTGCTACAATACAACCCAAGGCAAACACACACACACACACACACACACACACACACACACACACACACACAGTTTGCTTTTTTGTGTGTGTGTGTGTGTTTGTGTGTGGCCGTTTCTGTGTCAGCTGTCAAATCAGTCAAATCACGTTACAGGGAAAGCACTTTAATTATTCACACTACACACATAAACACCTCTCTGTGGCCGCCGCCGCCGCCGTCTGCCCTCAAAAGACAGAGCGTCTTCTTTTTCCAGATTTCTGTGCTGATCATCTTGGCTGAGATTCTCCTTGGACGTTACAGGGTGGTACTGTGAAGTACTGTGGAGTACAGACTGAACTTAGATTTTGTCCAATTTATATTTCATTTTCTGACTTGACAAGGGAAGGCTTCACTTTTCACTCCAGTTTTATAATCTCCCATGGATTGGGTGGCAGCTGACAAATGTCCCTCCATCGTGGCAGGCTACAGGATATGCAGGACATTATGTTGTCATGGTGGCCTGTGTGTGTGTGTGTGTGTGTGTGTGTGTGTGTGGACACAATTCAACAGTTTTGGTAGAGACTTCACCAGTTTCTTACTGTAGATAAAGCGATAATATGAAGCCACATAAATTTGCCTATTAGAGAATAAAAAGTGATGATCCAGATTAAAAAAAACATTTTCATACACTTATACATAATTATACATAATTAAAATGATATTTGTGGTATTTAGAGTGTGTTTGTCTTCATTAATTGTTAATATTATCAATATTTTTAGCATTAATTGGTGATGCAATTCGTGTTATGGAGGATGAATGTGACTTATCAACAAAGAAATGAGAGAACAGAGACAAAAAAAGAGGTCTGCAGAGATAGAAAATGTTTCTAATACATCAGCGAGCTTTACTAATGGCCTCATTAGCATATCTGTTTATGGTTCGTATGTCGTTATGGAAATATCACGGTAATTATGGCAGGTCATCGGGCAGCTGCAGTGCTTTGTGTTTAACATTTCTTCCAGGCTCATAAGGTTTGCTGTTAATTTTGTGGCTATTAGTCTGAATAAAATGTGTCAAGATGAATAAAAGGCAACAAACAAATAAATAGAAAGCAGAATATCTTTGGACAGCAGCTGCCGTTACTTATTCAGTTAGTTTAACCCCGAGGAGCTGACGGTTGTCTCCGAGCCCAACAGGCAAAGTCTGTCAGCAGAGATCAAGTTAGATCACAGAAAACAAATATCAAACTTTATCTGTGTGTGTGTGTGTGTGTGTGTGTGTGTGTGTGTGTGTGTGTGTGTGTGTGTGTGTGTGTGTGTGTGTGTGTGTGTGTGTGTGTGTGTGTGTGTGTGTGTGTGTGTGTGTGTGTGTGTGTGTGTGTGTGTCAGGCAGCAGATCAAAGAATCCACCAAGTCTCCACGTTTGTCGCAGCAGCTGGAGAAAGCCATCACTACCGTCTTCAAGCCTGTGGCCAACCACGACTTTAATGTGAGAACTAATAACCACAAGGCTGTACATACATATATATGTATGTATGTATGTGTTTGTAACTCTTACAAAATGATTTAAAGTCCAGTTGTTGCACTGAGGTGATAGCTGGCTGAAAGTCTTACAACAGTCTGAATCAGCTACTGTGTGTAAAAAGTTGTTGGAACTGAAAATTATCACCATGTAGTGTTTTTTTGTAAGTAATTACCACTTCAGTTAACGGCTTTAAAATGAATTTTTAAAGAGGCACTCCACCAGTGTTGTACACATAAAGTTCAGTTTACTCATCACAGAGTTTTTCTTCAACCTGTGAAAACATACGTTTTGTGTCGGGAGCTGAAACTGTTGATTAAACAACTAATTGACATTTAGACATTGTGTGTATTTACATGAGTATTTAGATTTTCACAGACCTTTTTCCACACTTGTATGATATTATTGTTTTATTATTATTATTATTATTATGAGTAGTAATATTCATTATGATTCTCAGTTGGTGTACGAAATAAAGAAGAAGTCACAGGGCAAGATGGTGAGAGCTGAGCGGCAGGTCGTGTTGGACATGCTCTTCTCCGCCTTTGAGAAACACCAGTATTACAACATTAAGGACTTGGTGGACATCACCAAACAACCTGTGGTGAGACACACACACACACACACACACAACACACACACACACACACACACACACACACACACACACACACACACACACACACACACACAAAGCTGGTAAGACCAAACACAACAATACACCTGCCCACTATCCACCTTGCTTTGTTAAATTTGAACAAATCGCCCACGGCATGACGTTCATGCCTGTTCACACTATCTTTTGTGGCTGGAATTTGGGCCAACATGCGCGCGCACACACACACACACGAACACACGAACACGGGATGAATCGATACAGTGCTGTGGATTCGTTCCAGCTCGCAGAGAACAGCAATGTGTAGGTGCTGATGAGACCTTGAGGTCCTTCTCTCCCTCTGATTGCATCTGATTGCATAACCATCGGCTGAGTAGGAGTCAAACGCCGCAATACACTCTACACCATCATCTCTCTCCTAAAGCACTTGGCTAACACTCAAATTAGCTGAACTAAAGTAACCGAAATGCCCATTATGAAAAAGTCTGGAAACGCATCAGTGTTATTCATGAGGTAGAACGGGCACGTCCCTACAAGCTCAACAGAGACCCCTAGTGGTGGGTGGAGAGTAAAGACTCTCACACAGCTGCTGCTCAGTGTTAGAAATTAGGTTTGTGTTGGATTTATGCCGGTCTGTGAAACTAAACAGTGCCGTCAGTACATAAAAGAATCATCTAAGCTTGTTAAAATGAGAAGCAAAGCTGGGTGTGTGAGTGCAAGCACAGGGAAACCACCATTTAGTACGCAAGTAGAGGGAAATTGGCCGAGGCAGCTGACTTAGTCTCGTATATAAAGCAGATGGGGACTACTGCTAGCAGCTGGTTCGGATGGAAAACATTAATAAAATATAATCTGCCTCTGGAAATCCACATTGAGTCAACCACAAACCACCAAGATGTACCGTGTTAGTGAGCGTCAGGAGGTGCTGGTAGGTAGATTTTGTTACCTTTGAACAGATCAATGGTGGTTTACTCATGTAAAAGTAGATACTACAGCAAGTAGTAGCATTAAAATATACTGAAAGCACCGAAAGTAAAGTGATTTATCATGTCGAATGGCCCATTTTAGAATAATATATTATTATTTTATTATTATTGATACATTAATGTATAAGCTTCACTTTAATATTACAGATAATAATCTATATACTACCTCTTAGCTCAGTCTATAATGATGTAGCATAATTTAATTGTTGCATATGTTTTGTATTACTATAACTTCCAGTAATGTTGTCAAATAAATGTAGTTTAATATAAAGTACAATATATATCTCTGAATTGCAGTGGGGTAGAAGTATTGGATATAACGTTATGCAGTGGCCTCCAGTTACTGATGAAGCTACATTATATGGGTGGTGATCTTAGCGTCATCCAAATGTTAAATATTAGTCAGACTTTTTATGACAATAGCCAGAAATAAAAGTAAAAAACAGACCACTTGACCATCCGCCTCATTTCAAGTGATGTACTGTGTAATACAACTGTTCTAGTTAGTATAATCACTCAAAAGTTGCATTTCCACTAGAAACATTAGTTATATTAGTAAAAAAAATAATAAATACACAAGATTATTTCATTAATTGCCATTAAGGACCAACATCTTGATCTTCTGCACGCTCATTGAATCTATAAAGCCTCATCCAGTAAAAGCTTCTGTGTTCAGGTTTTCTCTGATAACTGCACAGCTTCATTGTAGAAAGTAACAACACATAGAAAGTGAAGGGAAAAGTAGAAAACTCCTATGTAAGGACATAAAGACTGTACAGTACTGGAGTAGATGTACTCAGTTACTTTCAGCCACAAGAACAGAGCTGTTTCCTGTATTTATGTTTAAAGGAAGTTACATATTTACTGTAGAAAACTTATTTGTGGCGTCGATTTTCTCAACTAACTCGGCAGCAACTTTCCTAAAAGAACAAACTGTTAATTTAAAGCAACAATTTGACATTTCAGTATATACTCTTATTAGTTTTCTGGCAGAATTAAACAATAAAGTACAGTGTATCTGAGAGGACCTTCACACACCTTTCACACAGGTACAATTGTTCTGTTAGATACTAATTATACACAAAAACACTTGAATCTGTTTCTCCAGTCCTACCTGAAAGAAATCATGAAGGACATTGGGACGTACAACAACAAGGGAGCTCACAAAAGCACCTGGGAACTGAAGCCGGAGTACCGACACTACCAGTCTGGCGAGGAAGAGGAGGAGATGCAGACGTCGTAGTTCCAGCGAGTTCCTCTGAGCCTGGCGAGGATACAGCTCCGAGCTTTCAGCTGCTCGCAGGGGAGTTCAGGTTTTTCACTGACTTGTAGAAAACCTGCTGTTTATTACATATGCAGGTATTATGTGATGGTTTTGAGTTCATAAGGTTTAAGTTGATATTATTATTATTATTATTATTGGGTTGAAAGGTCTGCTCTGCATTAGGTAGCACATCACATAAATAAACAGACATGTTGTTCACAGTGAATGATTCAAATCTGTTCTTTTTGGACGTTGAGGAATAAAAATATGTCTGGAAGTGGAAAAAAAAACATGAAATAAATCTAAAATGCAAAACTATTGATTCCCTTTTGTTACAAAAACAAAAAGACACCAGAGAGAATTTGGATTTTTAACTATACGAGCTGAAAGGTGAATGTTTTAAATGTCTGTGACCGACTGTAGAGATTATTATAGGTAACTAAAACTGAACTAAAACAAGGTTTGAAAAATAATTTTAGTTAACTGAAATAAAACTGAAACAGTATTGTGTATTAACGAAACTAACTAAACTAACAATATACAGGAAATGTGTTTTTAGTTTTAGTCTTTGTAAACTTGGTCAAATATGTCAACACAAGCATGAGGAGGAGATATTGGTACATTATGTTTACTGAGACATGATTAGTCAGTGTGTAATAATATATAATATCATCTCACCTCATATTATAATTAAAAAACTAAAACACTGAAAACTAAAAAAAACATTTAAAAAAACAAATATGAATAAAAAAACTAATGAAAAATATAATAACTCTGCTGTAGAGTCGACTGTTTGACATTATTTAATTTAGAAGAAAGCGTTTGTAGATGTTTCAGCTCACATACTATAAGTCAAACATACCCGACGTTACTGTTTATTAATGTACCCTCAGACATCAGTGGTCTCCCTCCATATTATAAACCCAGTTCATTGTCAGTGTATTTGTACGTTTCTCCTGTATCCCCAACTTGTAAGATTTCAGTCACATAAAACCTTTTTCACAGCACTTCACGTGTGGTTGCAAGAGAAGCACAGGTGGAGCTAGTAACAATAAAGAGGCTCCGTTCCATTGCTGCAATTATTGTTATTAGTAACTCTTGTAAGTCAAACTGTCTGCTGTTCAACTTTCTCTCACTGATGAAGAAAATCACAGTAAACATGTTTATTTTGGTCAAAGTAGCATCATAGTTTTGTGGTAATACTTTTCCAACTAATGCGTCCTTAAAAAAACAACATAGTGACCTCTGATTCTGAAGTCTTAAACATTTGTGGGCTTTAAAAAAATGGATAAAAAGAATCAATAAAATCAGCTAGAACGTTCAAAAACAGCAAATTACGGTAATTTAATGGTACGACAGCAGCTGTAGTTGATAAAAGATTATTTTTTGGTACAGGATACATATGATTGAGTTGATGAGTACAATTGTCTTTCTGCTGTCGCAGCTTTAAACTTTATTTACAATAAATCACAGGGCAGAAACCTGCTGCTGTGTTTGAAGTTTAAAACGCGTTGAGTCAGTTTTAAATTATTCTATTAACTCTTATTTTAAATTTAAATAAACAAGTTACATTAAAGTAGACGTATGAAGTCTTGTCTTTAATACACAGCTGGATCTGTGGCTTTGTACAGTCGTCACTACTGAAGTTAACGGACTCATTTATAAACTGGATCAGTGTTTATCGCCCCCTACTGGACCTTTTGGTTTTTACAGTTGGTTACACACATTTCTCTCGATATTTATCTCTTGAAGTTCACATGCACGCCGAGTTTCCACTAATGTCGAGAATAAGACAATATTCAGCATTTGATAAGTCATATAAACAATGTGGATATTAATTAATTAGGGTTTATTTGAGTCGGCCTGTACATGATCAGCTCTACTTTTAATACAGAAGACTGTCAACAGGTTTGGTTTTTGGATGTGTGTAAAATATAAGGATGACCTTTCTCCAGAAGGTGTTTGAATGAATGAAACTGTTCACACGGTCCAAAAGTTTACCACCGATATAAAGATAAAAATGGCTCGAGCAGCTCCGGTTGTTCCTCTATAGGATGTACAGTACTTCATTAACAGGTACATTGATGCACAGCTGCATGTAAATGGGAGTATTAATTTATTCTTTTAAAATAAAAAGGAAACAAACTGAATACATTGAATAGACACTGATGCATTAAATGGCCACATCTTTAAAAATGAACTGTCCAGTTTGTATTTTTAATGTTTTAACTTTTACACTCAAACACAAGATTGTTTATCCTTCGTTTACCTGCTATTAAAGGAAATGTGCCAATACCTAAATAAAATCAGTTTGAGCATAGTTAGAAACATTTAATATAACCAAGTATACAACTCCACTAAAAGACTTTAGATGCCTAAATGTTTCACATTAACTCTATTTTACTCCATTTAGTGATAATATGTATAATTTAAGACTCTTAACTCGAAAGGTTCCCGTTTGTTGTCCCAGCTGATTCAATATCTCACAAACACACAGAAGAACTGGAAGTGGTGGTACTAGATTTTATTTTGAAATTAAACCGGAGGTCTTGTCATTGTAGATGGAATCATATTTAAACAAAGAGGTCAGAGGTCAACTTGTATGGATCACTGCTAAAACAGTAGACACAAGAAGAAGAAGAAAAAAACTTTTCAGTCGGTGGCCTCAGTCACAGTCCTGACTAGTTTTCAATCCCAACAACCGGGCCAAATCCTGGGACAAAAGTCAAACACTGCAAAAGCCAAAAGTTTAAAAACTGTATTCAGTGACCAATCATGTTTGATTCACCCAGCTTTGGGAGTTGGTGCTGTGGGCCATAATGGGAATATACAAGAAACTGTAGAAGAAGGTTTCCTTTCAGGCATGATGCAAAATAGTGCTCCTTTCAGTCTGCTCTTGGGGCCATTTGAGAAGCAGCAGCCAATTGAAAAGCAAATGTAGTTCCAGATAGTTACTGCAAGGGAAAAAAAGGACATGTGTGTCAATAGAAAGTCGTCAAACAAAGCACGTTTTCACAAGAGTAACTCGACATCCTGTCCAAAAGGGCATTACAGCTTTCCCGTATTTTGTCATATTAACTAACTACGGGCAGCTACAATTAACAAGTGAAGCTATTTGCCCATCAGAAAGCACCACGAGACCTCTTAAAGGAGAGGAAATGTGAGTGTTAGAGGCAATATGCCAGAAAACATTTGGCGTCAGTCCAATCAGATTTGTTCCTGTTCAGCTACACGACGTAGAAATTCATAGTTTTTAACATAACTATGGAACTAAAATCTTATAATGACTTTATGGGATTGAACAGTTAAAGATATACTTACACATTTCTCAGCCATCAGACCGTCTTTGAAGAAAAGCATGTATGGTGTGATGCCATCCTCACGGTAGTTCAGCAGTCCCACCGCGCCGTCTGGGTTCATGCTCTCCCCGGTGAAAAACTTCAGGGAGACAAAAGACGGCGAGTCAGAGGACAATAGCCGGAATCGTGAGTTCAGTTTTGTACATATTCGCCAAAGTATCTGGTCATACTACAAAAAAAAGGGGGCCCAGTGTCCGTCTGTAGTTGTTGCTTTACACAACCACAGCATGTTTGTTAAGCTAATAGCCAATTGTCCAGATATTGTTGTCATAGAAACGGATTTCAGACAGAAATGGACACCATGTGGAAACAACTCCATATAAAAAAGACAAAAAGCATCCGAAAACATCTCTTTAAAAACCTTTTAATAAAGTCAAAGTGCAGCTTTTAATAAACCGTGCCAGTGAAGGGTCAGTAGTGTGTGTGTGTGTGTGTGTGTGTGTGTGTGTGTGTGTGTGTGTGTGTGTGTGTGTGTGTGTGGTGTGTGTGTGTGTGTGTGTGTGTGTGTGTGTGTGTGTGTGTGTGTGTGTGTGTGTGTGTGTGTGTGTGTGTGTGTGTGTGGACTCTGTATATCTACCTGGTAATCCTTGAACTTTCCAACGATACCCTTAAATGCTGGTGCGACGTCAGCCATGAACTTCTCCACTCTCTCTGGGTTGTTCTCTTCTAGGTGAGCCTTAATGCTGGACATGCAAACAGTGACATTGTTTAAATATTTGTCCCACATAGGACACCGTTATAATCCCCAAACATCCTCCTGTATTTAAAAAAAAAAAAACCCCAGAAGAGATACTTACGCCTTCATGTAGTCTTTCATGTAGGAGACGTAACCCTTCTTGTCGAAGCCCGTCTCCTGCAGCTTGTGGTTGAGGACGATGTCTACGCCGGAGACCGCGGACTCGTCGGTGCCCTCGACCGCATCTTCAGCAGAGGCGTTGGCCGAAATTAAAGACTCGTCAAACCCTTCTGTCCTGGTGATCGTCTAGAAACATTAGGAAAGGGAGCAGAGGAGACAGACGTGAGTGGGGGAGAACAACTACACCTACTTTACTCTTATTAAGAGACAGGTGAGAGGATTATAATTCTTATAATGTAAAGAACCCATCAGCTATCACAACATATTTAACTTTATTATAGTCGTATTCAGTACTTAATGTAGCAGAAGGCTGGTTGTGTTAGTGATTAACTTCTTTACACAACCACGTCACATTCCTGTGTGTGGGTTGGACACATTATCTACGTCATCAGGCTGTGTGAGGACTACACCAGTGACCTCACTGCACATGCATCTGAGCCACATCAAGTAATCATGTGATCAATATGACTCACACATAAAACCTGAATGTTGTGTAGAATAACTTTAAAAACTCAAATGATGAAATACAGGCTGGGAGATCGTCTTTTGTATATATATAATATTTTCCTCATAGTTCTGCTTTATAAACAGATTTCCTGCCCATCTAGTCCAGATAATACAGAAGCTGTGTGTGTTGGGAATTATTGAGTCTCTGGAAATATAAAGTAGACCTTTATCTGTATATAAAGTTTCCTAAAATTGAATTAAAATTAAAAATCGTGACGTCTTGATTTAAGGAAACCTGTACACACACACTGAAAGCAAATAGGTGGTATTTCCTGTCTATTTTAGACAAATATATAACTTTAAAATGGGCATTGTACCATCACAAGCCTTTACTTTACCTCGTCTGTAGCTTTGCTTTGTGTAAACTTCCTTCCTCTGGCAACTAACTAAAAGATACTTCAACTTTTTAAAGCTAATATATTACATTTTAAATCAGAAAGTCTACATTAGAGCTGGATTGAAGTGTAACCGGGTGAAATATCCCTTTTCATTAAATCCAAACATGTGTTAACTCCTGATTTAAAACCCCAGACTCACCTTTCCTTCCACTTCGTAGAAGATCCCGTCTTTAGACTCGGTGATTTTGTAGATGTCCGAGAACATCTCATCATCTTCGAGAGGAAATAAAATAAAAACATTGTTAACACACTTTAGTGAACACAAAGAAAGTCTCCGGCCTAACGTTACCGCGGACTCACACCCCGCCACAGTCCGCTTTCTCCCCCAGTTTCCTGACACAACGCGGGGGGAACTGTTAGAGAGAGTCCCGCTGTTGTTCGCGGTGGAGGAGAATGAGTCTGTAAATAAAACCCGCAGCTACGGGACGCCGACAGGCCCAACGCACAGCGCGTTACTTTATCACGAGTAACGTTACATTTAAACCTCCCAACCACACACACACACACACCGCTAATACAGCACCTAAAGTCACACTTTTATTACTTTAAACCAACTTAAAACACAAAGGAAACGTGAACCGAACCAAAAGGATGAGAAGCTAACCGGCCTCAAAGCTAACAGGGTGGCTAACGTTAGCATCCTGATAGCACGAGTTAGCTAACGGCAACGCGCTCGCGCTCTCTCTCTCCCTCTCTCTCGCGCTCCCTCTCTCTCCAGTTTAAACACAAACGGAAAATAACCGCCGCCGCCGGTTAACGTGAACCGGCGCACACAGCCGGTACCCGCTCACCGGTGATGATGCACTTGTAGATGATCATTGTGGAGTTAGGGAGAGAAGTCTTCCGCCGACGGAGGTTCAGGCCTTTGTCGCCCTAACGGAACGGGAGAGGTAAAAGAGCGAGGCAGCCGCGAGACAGCGCATTTACGTGCCGCTGACGTCAGCGTGGGTCGGCTCGGCTCTCCCCGCTCTGAGCGCTGCTGCCGCCGGCGGCGTGGTGGCCGACCGCGGTACTGCAGCTGCCTGTACACACACACACACACACACACACACACACACACACACACACACACACAGCTCATTAGTGTTTTTATTTTTATTTATTTATTTTCAGTCCCTCCAGAAAAACGCGATCGTGTAATTTAATGCATGATCGGCCAAAGTACAACCAAAGTTTGTTTAAAATACGTCGCACTAAATCGCCGATTTCCGCGCAAATTACGCGGGACTTGAATGATTTAACAATCCATGCATTGTCGTTGCAGAAAAGTCACATAATATAATCTATATATATATAGATATAGATATATATGTGTATATATCTCAGCAGAAAGTTGAAAAACGTTGCGTTTACTTCACTCAAGAGCAGCCGTTTTCCCCTGTTGCCATGGGAACGTTATGAAGAGACGTAAACAACCTTCCAGTGGTAATATATTATTATTATTATTATTATTATTATTAGGATGTAAATATACATTTACAGTAAGAGATTGACCTTTGTGCATTGGAAGCACTTATTTTAACAGATGTCTGTTTTCTATAGCGACCTCTGTAAAACACATTTTATTGTTTTATATTTATTTATATTTACAGAAGTTGAAGCATATTCCTTTTGTGAAGCTACAGAATGAATTTGTTTGACTCATCAATGTTTTGTAAGTTGGAGCCGTGTGTTTATTAAAAGGTCTGAAATAAAACAAGATGAGAACTTTAATATTCCCAGCACTTTCTGTGATGTAGTATGTTTACTTATCATAGGAAGTAATAAGTAATTACTCTTTACATTAAGGTGGTAGCCAAGTGAGAACCGCAGTTTGTGCAAGTTCCCGCAATTTCAACGCATTAAATTGCATAAATATCACGCATATTCCAAAAACGTGCCGCATAATCAAAGATTTTTGTCCGCAACAATCACAAAACAACTCCGCATCTTTCTGGAAGGACTGTTATTTACTTACATTTGGTAATAATGTCAGTTTTAACACCAGCATTGGTGAGTTTAATCACATTATAGTTATATAATTTAATTTACAGCTTACAAAAACACGGTTTTAGGTGGAGTACCTCTTTAAAAGTTATACATGATTAAGTAGTAGATCAATACTTTATTTATAAATTCAAGTATCCGGTAGCATACAAAATAATACTAAAATTAAAAACCCTAACCTTAAGAATAGAATTAAAAATAAAAGATAAAATATAAATATAGTTGTTCCCGAAGAATTGGATATACTATATACTTGGATATAATAGTTTTTTTTTTAAAGCATATTGAATTCACCTAGGAAATAGGGCAGTAGTTTTTACATACTGTCATACACACACATATTTATATAATTTCCTACATGCACATTACTAGTATTAGACCTGTACTATATATTCATAGTCCTGTCTATAGCAGTGTAATTATTTATTTTTATAACACTATTTCATCACATCTGTATATAGAGTGTACACACAACTCCATTTTCATTATATCTTGTATTTATTTAATGTGTATTTTCATATCTGTTGTGTTGTATCTGCAGCTGCTGTAACGAGGGAATCTCCCCAGTGTGGGATCAATAAAGTCTGTATTATCTTATCTAATCACTGAACTGCTGCGGGAGGCAATAATCATCATTATGACATTAACAGTAGACACAGAATAATCAAGACTGACCTACAGACTGGAAGGTGACACGAGTATTTCTCAACCTCACACCGACTCATTAAACTATCACTCATAATAGTTCTTTGTTTACTTTTACTTACATTTGTTGTCCAACTAATATTCTTATTTATACTATTTTACACTTATATATCACGTTTCTCAGTATTTTTATTTACACCGTTGTTATATATTGTAGTATAGATATATAGATATATATATATATTTTACATACTTATTTTTCTTATAATTTCTCTTTGTTTACATATATTTCTATTGTAGAAGGAGTAACTGTAACAACCTCAGTGGATCAACAGAGTCAAAGTCCTTCTATACACACACATACTTGATGAATACAGCTGATTCTGACTGTGGTAATTAGATATGATAAAATACAAATACTAATGTTTCATTATTCATCCATGTATGATACTGACAGACTCCAACTTAAGGATGAAACATGGTTTAAACTACTTTATCTTACAGGTACATTTTCTCAAAAATCAGGAAGAAAAAACATTTTTTTAATATTATAAAATCTTCCACCTCGAGCAGCTCTCGATTTTATTTCAAGTCATAGATTTGGGGCCAGAGACAGACTTTTAAAAATAACCCCAAATCCCCCATTTCCCCTGATATTTAACCACCCCTCCAAAATAAAAGCCTTATATTTCAATCGTTTAAAAAACTGTAATTGTTCAACTGTTGAGTTACATTGTCTATAAATTAATGTTAAATACCTTTTTAATCGTTTGTTAACTAACTAACCCTTCATTTATTTTATTTTTTAAATATATCGAGGTTAAAACAGACTTAAAAATCAGCCTATAAAATCCACCAAAGTGGACCTTAACTCCGGCTCGAGAGAAATCCTTCAAATGAAACCAGTTAATAAGAAACATCGTTGTGGTTGAGCGGCTCACAGCAGATACAACCTGACCAGACCATTAAAAGTAGATATTTACAGTGTAACCAAGACCTGTAAAGGAAAGACCAATCGACATTGACCGTGTATGTCTGGTGAGAATTCAGCCCTGAGTTTCTATAAAAGTGAAACATGAAACATTTAAAAAGAAAAACCTTTCAAAACAACCATCGGCTACTTGTAAAGCAACTTTATTTCTCATTTATCAGCATATTATTTTGGTACAATAAGCACCATTTGTGATAATCTCAAACTATAATGGATTGCTTTTGTAAAATCCAAACCAGATGTAACGTCCCCTCCGTCCACAGGGCAACACAGTGAGACGACTCAAGTGTATTAAGTCCAATTATCTGCACATTGTGAAATCCACTTACACAAAGACAAATCACTGGAGGGAGGGTGGTGGTGGGGAGGGGGAGCCCTACAGTACAAAGTACACGGAGGCAGCATTTGGAGAGAAGGCAGGGGTTATAAACCAACAAGTGCATTCAAATAACAACCTCACCTTTCAATTATAGTTAAGACTTCTTCTTCAAAACAAAAACAAAAAGGGGAACAAAATACCCGAGTGGAGCTTGTGAAGAGGACCAGCACATGCAAGACAAAAAAACCCAAAACAATAGACATTTAAAAAAGTAGTTCATGTACAATTATACACACAAAATAAACACATGAGGAGAATTTATTGACGGACGATGATAAAGATGCAAGTGCAACAGAGCAAAAATGTTTTGCCTTCTCCCACGTATTAAACCTCGTTCCCCCCCATTTTGTGACTACGTTATAGGATAGCAAAACAACTTCAGGATACTGGAGTCGAGGTTTCTACGACGAAGGGCCTCGATCAGTAGTTCCTGTGATCAGCGTTTAATTCTCACGGCGACTATGGTTTTTAAATCAGGAGTGTTACGCACTGCACAGGAAACACATCATTATCCAAAGTCTTTAACTTTTATAACCTAAACCAAGCTGTAAATCTTGATCTTAACATTTTAAAATAAAGAAGCTACAGCTGTCCACAGTCTGTGACGACCAGCTTCTTCGTGGGCGTCCCCGTCTTTGTGCCGAACTCTTCCATCTGTTGCACCACGTCCATGCCGTCCTGAACCCAGCCGAAAGCCACGTGTTTGAAGTCCAGGTGTTCGGCTTTCTTCAGGGTGATGAAGAACTGCGAGTTGTTGGTGTCGCGCCCGCGATTCGCCATCGACAGAATGCCCGGGCCTGTGTGCCGAACGTCGAAGTTCTCGTCCTCGAACTTGCTGCCGTAGATGGACTTGCCTCCCGTGCCGTCGCCTTTGGTGATGTCGCCACCCTGAAAGACCAACGGGGGAAGTAGTTAGATGAGATAAGATGTTCCTTTATCGATCACATGAAGGGGGAATGTAATTCTCCTCACCTGACACATGAAGGATGGTATGACTCTGTGGAAGATGGAGTCCCGAAACCCGAAGCCTTTCTCATTGGTGCAGAGAGCCCTGAAGTTTTCCGCCGTCTTGGGGACAATGTGCGAGAAAAGCTCTACGGTGATGGTGCCGAGCGTTTCGCCGTCGGCTGCCACTTTGAGGAACACCCGCGGGTTAGTGTCTCTGGAGTGCTCCTGAACTCGGGACATCTGCGGCGAGGAGATAAACGAGGCGTCGCCGTCGGTTTGGCCCATGCGGCTCTGACAGGCGCAAAAAGTCTTCTTGAAGGATTCGGCTATCTCGGGGGTTTTGAACTTGGCCGCCAGCTGCTCCACTATGCCGTCGCCGTCTGGAGAAAACAGGGAGAGAGCGTCAGCAAGAGAACGGAGACACAAATGTTAAATATGTCAACAGTACAGGCGCTGCCGCCTCTGTTCCAACAAGATGGAGGACGCTGTGGTCAGAGCTGTGCGTTTGTTTGTCGTTGGTTTAATGATAATAACGGAGTTGGAAAAGAGATGTGTGAATTTGGACTATGCGATCAAATGGGCAAGAAAGAGGAGTGCTAAGAGGCGTAAAGTCATGTGACAACTGGCAGCACTTCATATTATTGAGGTTGAGAGAAAAACAGTAATGAACTCACAAGGAGACGAGTAACTTTAACATCTTATTGTAGTTTTATGGCTTGTAAACAAGATATTTCAGGGGAAATACAATGGGGGAAAGAGTCTGGACTAGTGCTGTCAAACGATTAAAATATTTAATCGCGATTAATCGCATTAATGTCGTAGTTAACACACATTTTTATCTATTCTAAATGTCCCTTGATTTCTTTTTGTCCCATTATTTTTTCTCATTTTAATGCTCTTATCAACATGGAAAAGTGGATCGGCTTGCTTTGTGCAAATGTTTTTATTGAAAACAACATTGGCACATACTGCAGTGTTCAATTTCACACTAATATTCTCACTTGGAGCAAATAATCTCTCACACAATGTAACACTGTCCATCAATAAAAGGGTGAAAAAAATACTTTGTCACACAAACAGCCCCTTCAACAGCCCTTTCTAAGGGATCAAAACTATATAAAATTACAAAGTGCACATGAAAGGTAAACTAGGACTCAGTGTGCTTCTGTCTGAAGTCATCCATTGTCGCCTGGCTTGGACGAGGGAACGGAGAATTCGCATCAGCTGTGTGTTTGGCCATCAAGTGGTATTTCAGAGTGGACGTGCTGCGATGATAACTTTAGCTCAGTTCACAACGACAAAACACACAGATCACTTTGGTCCATTTGGCAACTTTATAAAAGTAAACTTTCCATTCAGAATATTATTGGCATCCATTTCGGCATCTCGCGCTCGCCATCCACTCAAAACGTAACGTCTGCTACTCTTAAACAAGCGTGTGCGGTGTGTTTTGTTTTGTTTCTGGTCTTGCTAGATCCGGTGTGGTGTTGTAGTTTCTCTAACGTTACTAGTTGTTGCAACAGCATGTGAAAAAACTACAAAGTGTGCTAGGCCAAAAAGAGCGTTAATCTCGGGATAAAAAAATTGACGCCGTTAAAATGGGTTTGCGTTAAACTGACAGCACTAGTCTGGACTAATCATTGTACACTTAAGTCACTCAAAGTCCCTCTAAGATCTACAATTGTTCCTCGTTCCTGCAGTGCAGACACATAAAAAAGGAGGAATAGTGCTCCAACTTTTCCAAAAACGGCATATAAATGTACCTGAGTAGTCGGTGGCGATCCAGATCAGCGCGTTGGCTGAGGCGTTCATGGGTTTGAGTTCCATCGCCTGAGAGATGGTGTGGTTGGCACAAACCCTCAGCACCTGCTCTCTTCTCATCAGGATTCGGTAGAAATGTTTGGCTGGGTGGAAGAGGATCTTGAGGTCACCGATTCCACGCTCCTTCCACTGGCCGAGGTCTCGGTCCCATCGGTAGAGCTTGGCACGCTCTTTGAACAGGATTTCCTCGTCCTCCTCTCCGGACTTTGTCTCCACCTGAGAGACGCCACAGTTACACAAAAGATGAATCACCAAACTACTGACCATATAGACCACAAATATTAAGAGTTCAGCGTTTTAAGATACCTCTGGCAGTGACACTATTGGCTCAAAGTGAATGTCCACATTATTAGAAGCATCCTCTTCATCGCTGCCCTCCTCATTGCCGTTGTTTTTTGGAGCCGAGGTCCCCGCGGACCCAAACACTGTTGCTCCAGCATTTGCCCACGCAAAGTTGGAGTCTTCATAAAAGAGAAAGACAGTTGAAAGTAAATATGTAGTGAAATATACATTTTATTGTGATAATGAAGCTGGTTGTTAAAAAGACTCAATGTGGACGCCAACCTTGAGCTCCAAACGCAAATCCTTCTGTGTTTTGGGCCAAGTCAGCAAAAGAGAAGCCTCCCAGTGTGTTGAAGCCAAAGTTGGAGAGCTCTGCTGGAGGTGGGAGTGACAAAGTTAATCATTAAATAATGAATTTAATGTAGTTTAATTAGTTTATTCTACTCATTTGTATGCAGGATTCGAGCACACAGAGAGTTGGACACAACAACACGTCCAGGAAGTGGTGTTTACCTTGACTCATGGTTGTAGCAGGAGCTGGAGGGGCAGGAAGAGCTGCAGGAAGAGCTGCAGGAAGAGCTGCAGGAAGAGCTGCAGGAGGAGCTGCAGGAGGAGCTGCAGGAGGAGCTGCAAGAGGAGCTGCAAGAGGAGCTGCAAGAGGAGCTGCAAGAGGAGCTGCAAGAGGAGCTGCAAGAGGAGCTGCAGGAGGAGCTGCAGGAGGAGCTGCAGGCCCAGTGTTGGACTCCGGCTCTGGGCTCTTCTTAGTTGAAAGGTCAATGGGAGAGCTGCTGCTAGGAGCTTCACTCTGAGTCTCTGCTGGCTGCTCTGAGGTCTGCTCCTCCGGTGTAGACGTGCTGACTGCAGCTTCTACGCCGGCCGCAGCTTCTACGCCGATGCTGGATGACGGGCTCTCCGTCGGCTCTTCTTCTAGGGCTACTGCGTGGCTGCTGGGGGCCTTATCAACTTGGTTTAACTCAGCATCCTGAAACAATTTTGGAATTAAAGTACAATGATACTGATGCTCTCTTGATGCTAGATTCACAAAATAACAGCAAATTGTTTAAACGAACTCCAAGTTAAACCAAATACAGCATTAATGACAGAGAATGTGAGAAGTCCACAGTCAGAGAAAGTCCTGCTCATGTAGTTCAGTTAGTCTTTGTATTTAACAACCACAATCACAATAATAATGAACACTGACAAACTACCAGTAGAGTACAGCCCTATTGTGTTTATGTGCATATAGAGTGGAGAAGTAAGATTTAAGTGTAACTCAAGACCCATTTTAAAAGGTGTAAACTGTCCACTTGTGATCTGAACAGGACTTATGTTCTCCTCTTATTAACTGCTTACTCTTCATCACTATATATGAACGCCGCTAAGACGACCTACATGAATTCTGGGTAATCTGGCACGCTTATTTAAACTGAACTATCATCTGTAGAAGAGTTTTGTCTGTTACCAGGTCTTGCTGTGCCTTGCGGACTTCCGTCTCAAAGTCTTCGGGCTTGTCGTGGTCGGGGTCAGGGTCGCTGTCTGTGATGCTCAGGCCGCAGAAGAAGGTGGGTGGAAGCTGGAGGCTTTTGGCCTTCTCTTCCTCCTCCGGTGTCGGCTTCTTCTCCCAAACCACCTGGCAGTCTGACTCTGAATCCAGTACACACAAGTTTAGGGTTAGACTGGCAGGTGAGGTGAGCATTACTTTATTAAATCGTAATAAAACACGTGAAAGAGATCATTATTTATGTACAGCCTATACAAATGTTTGTGAAGCAAATCAAACCAACAGGTTACTTGGTAGAAATTATAAAACTGAGGTTAATGAGAGTAATTAGATAAAATAGGACACACATACCATCACCACATGCTGCTGCCTTCTTCTCAGGAGGATCAGCGTAGAGTTTTCCATTCAAGGCTTTTACTGCTGACTCGAAGTCCTCGTCTGAAAATTCAAAACACATTTTTTCCCTTAAATTACTTTTGCTTGTCAAGAAACCTGTTGATTCCAGTTCCCACTTCACTCCCACAGACTTTGGACAAAGACAACTTCTGTTTGTTTTGTCTTCTTCTGTTCTTAGTTTTCAGATTTTTAGCAACACGATGGCCAGCTTTACAGACATTAACACATGTTGTTGTCATAGTGAGAGACAACAGCAACACAAACCGCAAAGGGTTATAACAGAATATAAGAGAGAGAGAGAGAGAGAGAGAGAGAGAGAGAGAGAGAGAGAGAGAGAGAGAGAGAGAGAGAGAGAGAGAGAGAGAGAGAGAGGATGACACGCAGCAAAGGGCCACAGGTCGGATTAGAACCAAAATGAAGAGCAATCAGTCACAGAGGTCAGCATTTTTCTGAGGGGTGGCGTCTCAATGATGTAGAAACTCAAGAGCTCCTGGCTAAAATATGAAGCTCCATGATGCAGTTTTACACTCCAGTAAAAAATGTTTTTAGGTGGGAATTTTTCCCAGTTTGCCTGCCATTAATAAAGTTTTGAATCCTGAATCTACAAACAGCAATCATACAGGCAAAATTAAAATGTAACAAGTCATACGAGTCATCTTAGTTACCATATTCACTTGAAGAAAACACATTTTTATACTCTTGTTTCTTATCTTTTTGTCTCACCATCAGTTTCAGCGTCGCTGGTGTAGCCTGGCTCATTTTGATAGCAGAAGAAGGTGAGAGGCAGCAGGAGCTTCCTGGCTAAAGCTGCCTGTTCAGCCGTGGGTTCCCTGACATACACAACCTCCACCTCTGAGTTGTCCTCCGACCATGAACTGCCTCCTTCTGCCTGAGGTGGCCCTATGTCAGACACGATAGAAGAACAATACATAGTCAGGCTGGGGAGGAACTGCTTGGAAGAAAAGCAGAAATTAAACTTCTTTACTCCCTTTATAAAAACACAGGTGTTAGTTCCACACACACAAAAAAAAGACATGCACAGCAAAAATGAACAGCATGCATTTGATGTACAAATGTGAGACAAGTTGTACTCAGAGTATTTCTGTATGCATGTCTCTGTTTAGCTGACTCCACCACTTACTGTTGGACACGTTACCGCAGCATTAAACGGCATTAATACCTGAGCGTTAACTCTAATTAGCCACTGCTGAGGTGCACATCACTGGTAGATGCCAGACTAGACAGGGAATTGCATTTCATGCTGTTGCTACACATCCAGCACTAAAAATGGCATGTGTGACGTTTGCACGGTGCATTCCTCTCGGAGGAATCCTCTCAGCTCATCTTTCAAAAGACATTAACTGATGTGCCTCCTGTTGCTATACAAAACTCTAGTTTGATTCTGTGTATTTATTAATGAAGTGGTTACCAGCATTTTTCCTCACGGAACCCCTTTTCTATTATTAAGTAAACTTATTTATTTGATGGATATTTCATAAAATATTTCAATGCATAACAATAACAGTATAGAACAACTGATAAGGACGTTTATGTAAAAAAAAAAAAAAAAAAAACCTATATGGATGAATTTTTAAGCAGATACTTTCCTGAATACTATTTTAATACAACTCTCTCTAGTATGTAATTTATTGATTATTAACAATCATACACACTTAATAAGGAGGAGGCTGTGTAGCAGGGAGTGAAGTCTCTGTGACTATAACTTGTGTTCAGGTCTTAATCATGTCCTTATCCTGTAAGGTAATATCTAAAATAATAATCTGAACATCAAAAATAACAACTTCATTAGTTTTTTTCACAGAAATGAATTAAATCCTGAGATATAAGCACATATATATCTATTTTTTTGGCCTAACCTACTTGAGAAACTCAGACCAACTACATCTATTATTTTTCTAAAATAACAACTTTAAACCTATTTTAAGGATTTGGCTTTTGCTTAATTGTTTAACTGAATTACGCCTCATTACCCCCCTAATCCAGACGAATCAGATATAGAAAATGTATCATATTCTGTGCAGTCCTCCTGTGTGAGACACTTGAATCTTGAGACATCGGTGCTACTCAAGTAATAATTCAAATCTTTGTACAAATAAAAACTGCATCTCCACACACTGGACATGCAACACATTAGCTTCAATGTTTTTTCCACTCCGTGCATCCAGGTTATTTCTTTCTAGTAGTAAGGGCCAGCCAGGTGACAGCTGAGAAGTGTTAACACACACTGCAGTGATTAGAGTACCTGGGGGTTCAAATTGGGTGGTTGATGTGCTGGTCCAAAAAGCCATTGGGTTATCTTTGAAAAGCCTAAAATCCAGCCCTAAAGGATGATGAGTTGTTGGGCGAAGAGAAACTAATTGTGAGGCTGGTATCATAATCAGAAAACAAGGCCAAAAGTCTTCAAAAGAAAAATGTGAAATACCGTGAGTGTTTGAGTGTATGTAAAACATGTGCAGCGTGTTCACTAAAACCTAAATAATTTATATATACAGTTCTACTAGCACAGGATATGGTAATATAGTGGAACAACATAATATAACAAAGTATATAGGGTGGCTATATGGGGAGGTGATGGGAAATCAGTAGTTTTAATACAGTTTCTGTCCTGGAGATGTTTTGAGAAGGGCCTTGGCTAGGTCAACTAAGATGATGGAGCAATGAGATGCAGATGAAACAAGACAATGGAGTAAAACTCAAATTAACAAAAACAGTCCTGATACTCATTCAAAAACAGAAAAATCAGACAAATATTGCATTTAAATTAAAGATATTTCTTTACCTTTCTCTGGGATTTTGAATGCAGGTACTGCAGATGTAGTACTGGCAGGATATCCAGAATCTTTGGCTTTCAAACTGGATGCAGATTCTTCAGATTTAGGAGAGCCAAAGAACCTCTGCAGGCTATCAGAGCCAAAGACAAACTTAGGGGGTGACACCACAGTCTTCGAGGGGTTGACTGGACTTGGAGACCCAGCTGCACATGTCTGCATCTCTGGAGAAAGCTCTGTACGTTCCTTTGTGGTCTCCTCCAGAACAGCGATGGCTGCCTTCCCGCACACAGTTGGAGTAGTCTGTGCAGATCCCGTGGGTCCGCTGTCTTGAGGTGTGGCGACTCTAGATGTCACTGGAGTCATGAGTTCTTTCTTTTCTTGGGCAACCTTGGCCTCCTCAAAGACCTGTTTGAATGTGTTGGCAGTTTCCTGAAGCTTGAATCTCACAGCAAGCTGCTCAATATTACCCTCTCCTATTTCAGCAAAGTCCACGGCACTCCAGACCCAGGCCTTCTCTGCGCCCTTCATAGGTTCCAGTTTCATGGCTGATGTGACCCAGTGGTTGGCACAGATCTTGAGTACCTGGTCTCTCCTCATTATCAACCTCACTCGTTTGGAGTCGTAATTCTGCAAGATCTTGAGGTCTCCGATACCCCTTTCCTTCCACTGACCCAGTTCCTTATCATATCGATACAGCTTGGCCCTGTGACTGAAGACCACCAGTTCACTCTCCTCTCCTGTAGAAATCTCCACCAGGTCAGGCAAAGGGACTACAGGCTCAAAGTACTGGCCATCCCTCTCCTCATCCTGAGTTACATCCTGCTCGTCATCAGTACCCACCGAGGCTCTGCTCTGGTTAAGCTTAGCTGGAGACTTTGAGGGGCTGATGCCAGGCTGGAAGCTGAAGTTGAACCCACCAGTAGATTCTCCAAAGCGGAAAAGGTTCTTTCTCAGGGGGCTGCTGGCGATGGGAGAGGCATAGACTGACGAGTCGACCGTATCATCTAAAGCCTCTTCTCTTAGGTCGTAGTTATCCCACTCCAAGGTGGGGCCGGTGGTTTCCCCGTGAGGCTTGATCACAAGGCTTGAAACGTTGCTAGATGTTGTCATGTCTCCCTGGTTGTCGTCATCTTTGATCTTGGTTTTCTCATCGGTCAAAAAGAATTTCAGGTCTTTCAACCCAGACTTCATTTCCTCCGCTTTCTGAATGAGGTGTGCTGTTCTGCCTGTGTCAACAAGCTTGTGTGGGGTTTGTAGCGGGATATCCAAGAGAAGTCTTTGACACTCTTCAAATTTCTGCTTAAACTCATCAGCAAGTTCTGGGCTCTTAAACTTTGCAGCCAACTGTTCAAGTTTAGCATCTCCATCAGAGAAGTCATTGGCCAACCAAATCCATGCTTTGTCTGAGCCTGCCAGGGGCTTCAGATTCATGGTGGTGGTGATCCAGTGGTTGGCACACACCTTCAGAACCTGCTCTCTCCTCATCAGTACCCTTAGTCGGCCATTAGAGGTGTTTTTCAGAAATTTAAGGACTCCTACACCTCGCTCTTTCCACTGACTGGTGTTGGAGTCAAATCTGAACAGTTTGACACGCTGAGAATAAAGAACCAGTTCATCCTCCTCCCCTGTCACCAGGTCCACCTTATCAGGCATCTGGACCACTGGTTCAAACTGGATATCATCATTTTCCTCAGTTTTATACATGTCGTCATCTTCCAGCTCATTTGAGGCATCCGTCTTGGTGGGGGTTGCCTGTATTGATGCGAACAACTGTTCACCAGCCCCAGAGAAACCTTTGAAATTTGGGTCGGTATGGCCAAACTGGAAATCTCCTTCAGAGGACTGTGCCAAGTCTGCAAAGCTGCATGTATTGGTTTTACCAGCAACTAATGGATTTTCATCTTCTTGTGTGTGGTCCACTAAGGGCGTAGGCACATTTTCTTTTTCCTTGTGTTTATCAGCTATGCTTTTAAGAAAACTGGAGGCTGACCCTGATGCAGGTGTTGGACTAGCAGTCGAGGGGGTTTCTTTTGCAGGGTCCTGAACACCAAACTTGAAGCCACCAGCTGGAATGGGCATTGAGAAAGAAAACGCTGAAGAACTTGTGGTACTAGATGAAGACTGAGGAACTTCAAACTTGAAAGAAGCAGCTGAGACTTTATCTTTGCTTTGTCCAAACTGAAAAGTGCTGCCACTTTCAAAAGGCATTGTAAATCCAGTTCCAGCAGGCTGGCTTGATGAACTCTTGGTTCCAAAGGAAAAGCTGAATGTGGAGGCAGAGGGAGCAGTGCTGGTTGTGCTTTTAGCATTTGGATTTGGTGTCTCACAGGCCAAACACTTACTGACAGAGGCATCGTTTCTCACCAGACAAGTGTCACAATCCCATTGTCCATCCTTCTTGGCAAACTTAGCTTCTAAAGAGGGAGTGTCATTTGGGGTGTGGCAGGAAACACATTCAGTAGCTGATGCATCATTTCTAACTAGACAGGCATTGCAGTCCCACATCCCATCCTTTTTTACTAATTCAGCCACAAATCCTGGAACTGCTGGCAGATTTGACGCTATCGGAGCCCCTGCTGTTGACTTAGCAGCAGGGTTGGGGGTTCCACAGGAGACACATTTATTAGAAGAGGCTTCATTTCTTACTTCGCACATATCACAGTCCCACTGCCCGGGCTTCTTACTAAACTGGGCAAGCCCAGAGACAACAGCAGATATAGAAGGCTGCACTGCAGGTGCCTCTGCAGCTGGTGCCGCTTGTGCTGTTGTAGCTGTTTTAAGTGATGGTTTAAGAGCTTTACAAGAAACACAACTGTCTTCAGAGGCCTCATTTCTTTTAGAACACATGTCACAGTCCCACTGTCCTGGTTTCTTGCCGAACCCAGCCCCAAAGCCAGAGGCAAACGCACTAGGTACTGTGTCAGCAGGTTTTGAGGTGCCGAATGTAAAAGAAGAAGGTATAGAAGCTCCAAAAGCACCAAATCCAGTAAATGGAGAGCCAGAACTACTGGGTTTTGATGAATCAGTCCCAAATTTGAAAGTAAAGGGACTGGCTTTGGTTTCACCAGCAGCCGGAATGTCCGGCTTGGATGAAGAATTGGGATTGGCAGTTTGACAAGCGGCACATCGCGTATTCGTGGGTTTATTTCTTACACAGCATACATCGCACTCCCATTCCCCTGCTTTAAGAGCAAACTGGGCTGCCAGTGATTCAGAAACATTTGGAGTTTCCTCTTTCTTCTCCTGTTGATCGCGCTTTTCTGGTGATTTGAGCACAATTTTCTGGGCTTCCTCAAACTTTGCTTTGAAAAGTGAAGCCTCGTCTACTGTTTTGAAGCGGATTGCCAGCTGCTCGGGCTTGGGCTCTTCATCCGCATAATCAATGGCATTCCAGACCCAGGATTTGTCAGAGCCAGCATTCGGTTTCAGTAGCATATCGGCATTGATGTAGTGATTTGCACAGATCTTAAGGACCTGTTCCCTTCTCATTAAGAGGCGGACCTTCCCTTTAGTGCTGTGCATTAGGATTTTAACATTACCAATGCCCCGCTCCTTCCACTCTTTTGTCTCTGCGTCAAATCGATACAGCTTCGCCCTGTTGCAAAACATTTCCTCCTCCTCCTCTTCTCCTGTTTTCACATCTACTTTATCAGGAAGTGGTACAATGGGTTCAAAGTGAGGACCATCCTCATCTTCCTCAACATGAGTGCTGTCATTGTCACTCTCTGCTGCTCTTTCCTCTTCTAATGCAGGTTTAGGAACCATCGTGGTGGCATCCCCAAATTTAAATGGCTGCTCCACCTTTCCAAAAAAGCCAGTAACATTTTTATTGCCAAAGGTGAAGATATCCGTTTGGCTGGGGAGCTGCTCCTGTCCTGCATGCTTCTCTGGAGTGGTATCTGTTTTAGTGGGAATGTCTGACGTGAGAAGACCGAGAAGACTTTCACTGTGCTTGGCCTGGGAAGCTGAGAAAGTGAAATCTCCATCGTTGGATTTAAAGTTGGAGGTGAATTTAAAAGCAGCTGAGGGCGTTGACTGAGCAACTGCAGCTGCTCCAAAACTAGGCACTTTGGGGACTTCAGCGGGTGCCTGCTGGCTGAAGGAGAGCTTCCCAAAGTCCATCGGCTTCCCCTCAATGCTCTTTGGTGGCTGAACAGGGACTACAGATGGCTTGGTAAAGTATCCAGGTTCAGGCAGGGGAGGGTTAGGGGCTTGTGGGGTTACACTTTGGCCATAGTATTCCTCACTATATGGGGAAAGAAGGCTCGTGGCTGGTGATTCAAATCGAAGAGGGGCACCAAAGGGCACCTGTTCTTGAGGAGGATAAATGCAGGCTGACGGTGTTTGCAATGGAGGCGTATGAGTGGGCTGCTGGTAGGCATACATATGCTGCTGAGGTGGCATACGGTTCATACCATACAAAGGGCCCTTTGTGAAGAGAGAAAACAAATCATATGTCATTTAATATAGTCTTAAAAAGTTTATTTCTGTGAATTAGTGTTAAACACTGATAATTACCTTGGTCGGGGTTACATTTGCTGCTGTACGCAGGAGATACTGAGAGTTATAAGCTGGAGACTGATTGTAGTACACAGAGGGGCCTGTAGTGGCAACTTCAAAACAAGATAGAAATATATAAAGATTTTGTTACTCTTATAAACTGTTTCTGACCAATAGTTGTAGACACAAATGTGGAACTATGAATTGAGATGTGCTTTGGTTGTATGTAGTATGCTGACCTGTTAGGGGGGCGCCGTGGTAGGACGGGACCGGGGTGAAAGGCTCCTGTAGGCCCTCAGCCCCGTAGCTCTCACCATACATTTTGTGATGAGGGGAGCCAGGGTTCCCTGAAGAGTTGTGTCTCAGATCATGGACCTCATTCTGCAAAACAAGGAGCTTAATGAGAAGAGACTCCATTTGACATCTTAACAGAATGTGTAAAATATTATATAGAGTTTCTCTTATGTTACTACTGCAAACTGTTGAATAGTTGCCAGGATGTTTATTTACCTCAACTATTATTAGAAACAGGCCTTTATTTGTTTTCTTAAAACACTTTATTTGAGACTTCCTCAACATTTTCCTTTTGTTATGATAAATCCAACACTGCTCTTTACTGACTAATTTATTCCAGTGTGAAATTATGTGGAGTTGAATTAATTGATTAAATTAAAGATGTTTAATCCTGACCTTGAGGGCTTCAACTTGCTGACACAGCATTTGGAGGAGACTTTTCTGGTCCTCCACCCAGTGAGGTGGTGTCTTGGGAGAAATCTGAACAGAAGAAGAGGAAAGGAATATATAAATATGACAAAGAAATCTCAGACGGTCTTCTGACTGCAGACCAATAAACTGAACTCACCAAGTGTCTTTTGGAAGGAGAGACGATGCTTTTGTTTGGAGAGGGAGTAGAAAACTTTATGTGGGATATGGTAGCAGAGGTTTCTGTGAGATGAGCAGGGCTGGAGTGGGCCGGCCCTCTTCGAACCTCATCCTCCTTCTCTTCCTCCTCATCCATGGCCTCCCCACTCTCCCCCAGCTGCTGGTTCACATCATTCAGAAGGTCCACAACTTCCTCCATGGAAACAGGCAGCTGGGACACAAATGTAATAAATGGTTACGCAGCTGCAGAATGTGTCACTAGTTTTGCTTTTGATAAACCTGAAAGTTCAGTTTGTTTGGAGCTACAAGAAAGGGAACTTACCTTCTCAATGTCATCGGCATTAGCGTTATAGATCTTTGACAAGTACGTCCTGAACTTTCTCAGAAAAGTGATGCATCTGTCTTGGGTCTCCTCCACCCCGTTGCTGGCCTCCTCCGATAAACGCTGGTAGATCTGCCAGAGAAACGCAGCACATTGTTTAAAAAAACAATCCATATGCACCAATTGGATCTCACATATTGTCAGACTGATCGGGGTGAATGTTGTTGATCAACATTCACTTCTTTTTTTAGGGAGTTGTTCCTGATAGCAGCTCAGAGGATGTGTGTACCAAGGCAGCGAAACTTCTGAAGATGCAGTGAAAAAACTAACACCACCATACGATTGCCTTCTGTGGTACAGACAATGAATACCTTTAAATTTGCACCTTTTTTTTGGTTGTCTTGCATTACTGGTACAACTCCCACAGATACTCATTGATAATTATTGGAAATCCACAACTCGTGCTTTTTAAAAGGAACTGGACCACTAGCTATTAATAGACAGCTATGGTTTAACTCAGATGGGGAAAAAGTTCCAGTTATGTTGTGTAGAAGTATTTGACTTACCTGTGCCAGATGCCAGATGGATGACATGTTATTGATGGTTTCCAGGGTAGCGATGGCTTCCTCCGTCTTGCCTTCGATGTCAAGAAGAGCCGCATATGCTATCTTGGCTTCCTCCTCATAACCCCTAACAGAAGAGATCTGGGAAGGAATACGGACATGTTTAAATACAACAAAGTCGTACAGCTTTTCATTCAAAACATTTACTAGTATCATAGGTAATTGAAATGAATTTAAACGCATTGAAAAATGTCAAAAACCTGTAAACCTGTGACCCATGCAACAACATTTAGGTTCTTAAAAAAAATGAATTAGAAAATAATAATTTCACAAGAACAAAAAAAAAAAAATAGCTTATACAAGGTAAGTTCAAAGATGTTTATCATCAAAATTTCCTATAATAAAATAATAAAAGCACCATGACAATAGTATTAACCTGAATATCTTTGGAGTGAAAGTGCATGAAGAGGGGTTCAAGTGGTTCTGGTATACTGCGTCTGTTTTTGATCTTTTCCAACAGTGGAAGTACAAATTTCCAGTAGTGGACACTGCGGCTGATGTACTCCTTCTGGTCGTAGTACGAGTTCACTCCATCTCCCTGGGGTTATTAAAACATACAAAGACAGCTGAACATCAAAGAGAAACTAACCACATTAGCTTAAAGCAGGTCAACATTAACAAGGTCAAAACAAAACTGCACTTTTGAGAGAAGTTTCCTTCAGTTGTTACAAATTCTACCATAAAACAAACAGACCCAGTCAGAGGAAAAGTACATGTGGCTGTTTGGACATCTTTATCACATTTAACAGACAGAAAGGAGCAGGTGGGTCTGTGCAGGATCTGGCAAGGTGCTGAGTTATGCAAGTGCTAATTTTCTGGCCGCGTTGCTTGTCTGTATGCGCACGGCTGCCACTCACAAATGATCTGGTCCCATTTCTAGTTGACCATCTTAGTAGAGTTAAAAGATATATCTATATTGATGTTTATGCCTCACATACACCTGTCCATCTCTACACCTTGTTGTCCTTTATGACAGCAATGCTTTCATCCTGATACTGCATAATAATGTATCAAAGCAAGAACTTGTAACTTTATAACTTAAGTTAGTTTAATGAGTGAATTTGAGTAAAAATACAGTCAAATAACTGTATCAGAGTTAAAAAATCTCTCAAACTTCATCTGCTAGTTAAGCAACCACTGAGGTCTATAACGCTTAAAACTCACTGAGCTTGTGGAAACAGTGTGTGTGTGAGTGTGTGTGTGTGTGTGTGTGTGTGTGTGTGTGTGTGTGTGTGTGTGTGTGTGTGTGTGTGTGTGTGTGTGTGTACCGTCTGGCTGAGACACTGAGCCCAGTGGATGGCCAGCGCTGGTTGGAGTCCATTTTTCTCTCCAGCCCTCAGAGTATTCAGTCCATGCTGCACAATCATCCGCAGTTTGGCTGACATGCCAGGACTACAGAAAATATTTACACTAAAATTAGCAAGTACTATGTTTAGGTCCGTCACTGGCACCCAGCTCCTCTTTTAAAAATGTCATGTTTGTGCCCACACATTACTAGTATATTGATATTGAGTCATTTTTTGGGAAAATGTTGAGACAAAATTAAGTCTATCCATCAAAAACTGCTACAATAGCATCAATGAGAGTTAATATTTAATGCTTAATTATGAAATCAAATGTTCCCCTCTCTAGACTGTGAGCCAGTCTATATATATTCATAATGCACTCTAATGCCATTGTGTGCTGTCTCAATAGGTGAATATCTGTTAATTAGTTAGAAACAGCTTTTATTTTGAAATATCTAGATATTAATAGCTAGAAGGTGTTTCATAAATATAAAATTAAACAAAAAGGTAACCAACCCAGTCAGATGTGGACAAAACTAACTGGCAGAATCATTTTAGCAGCTTATATTTGACTAAATTTGTTTTTTTTAAGTTTTGTTTTAAATTAACTCACGCTGCTTGTTTGTGAATGAGGCTGTAGATGGCATCCCACCACTCTCTCTGCCTGTCAGTGGTCAGGAGACGGAGGAGGGGAAGAGGGAGGCAGCGAGGCTCATAGAGCTGCTGTTGTTGCTGCTGGTTCGCTCCACTGCTGATCTTCGCCGTCTCCTGGAGCTGACAGTGGCTACAGAACACCACCCCACATAAAAACACCTGGATGGAGTAAAACCAGACAAGAGAGAGAAAGTTTTACATTTTTGAAGACGATACGAGAACTAAGCAGCAAAAGTGCCATTTGTTAAGTCATTCACAAATGTAGCATTGGACTATCGAACACAGCTTCAGGGGCGTGTTTAACCATTTATTTATTATGTATACATGATGCATTTTCCTGTCATAAATACATATTTCACACCTTCAAATGGATCATTAAATGTCCCTTTCATCTGTTTCACATGTGCTGACCATTTGAAATTAGGCAAAAAACTGAAAAGCTGCTTCATCTTGTGTTATGAGGACCCACCAAACCAGCCCACATGATTCCACCTACCTCCAGGTCCAGCAGGCAGATGGACTCTGGTGCGTTGGTGTCCAGTTTGGAGGTTTCCAGAGTAAGCCTGGGAAATAGCTGCTGCAGCCAGTCCCGCAGGGCCGGTCTTTGGGCCAGAAGGGTCCACTGTAGTCCCAGCCAGCTTAGATGTTGCAGGTCACCACCGTGCCGCAGGATGGAGCCTACAGAGGAGGCAACAGAGTTATTACGATGTAAGGAGACCTTAAAATGTCACAATGGTTGCACTTATGCAGTTGTTGTTATTTACAAATATTATTAGCCCTCCTGTACTTTCAGATTAGATTCTGTGGACTACAATCCCTTTAAAAAAGCCTTAACATATATGGGCTTTAACTAAATTACACTAAACTGGTTCTGAAGTGTCGATCTAAAACACTTGCATTGTGACTCACAGCCTCATTTAATATAAAGAAAGTGTTCTTCAAGGCCCCCGTTTTAACTTCTATGTTTATAAATTAGAATTAATTTAAGGATACATACATACATACATACATACATACATACATACATACATACATACATACATCTACTAGAGGGGCAAGAACAGTTTACACACAAACTTAACTGATAAAAATACAAATTAAACCTAAATAAATCTAAACTGAAGAGATTCACTCGTACCAGCATCCCATTTGGCCAGCTGAGAGAGCTCTGGAGCCGTGGTCGTAATGGAACGAATGTCATCGTTGGCAATAAAGGAAGATCCAGTGGAGGCTTGTGGTCCAAACAGGAGTTCAAACAGAGAATCCTGACCGCTACGGTTCCCAAACGCCTCCACCACCTACACACAGAAAACATGAAATGATTATAACCAGTTTCAGTTTGTCTGTGTCCGACACTGTGTGATGGATATGATGCAGAAATTTGTCATGTTAATGTGTAAAAACAGAGCACTAGTGCATCGATTGTGGTTGTAAAATCTCAGTTCCACAAATTCTATCTTTACACAGGCAAAATTAAATTCATCCAATCAATTTATTACATTTCCCTTTTGAATCAGAACACAGACAGACCTCTCTGATCAAGGTGGTTGAATCCGTGCTCAGATTTAGCAACATGTGGCCGGCCTGACTCTGTCGGTCGTTGGCCAGCAGCTCCAGAAGCTGTGGGGCTGACTGGTCTCTTTTGGTCACTTTAGCCTTTGGTCTGGGGACCTGATGGAAGAACAAACAAAACAAACTAGATTCAAAACTTCCTGCCTGTGGCTCTCAAACAAAGCCTGTAAAGAGTAAATACTGCATTACTTGTCTTGTAAGACCTTTAAAAAGTGAAAAGTTCAGTGTTTATTATTCATCTTAACGCTACATTGCAGATCCTGAGTACGTTTGTAGCAAAGAGTGAAGAGAAGTCAAGCAAAAAGACTAGTTTTGGTGAATAAAACACCTGATTTTTGACTTTTTTCAAGACATGAAACAGCTTGAATATAAAAGAAAAGAACCTATAAAATAATCAGATATGTAACATTTTACAACTTTAACCATCTAAGAGATGACAGGTGTGTGTGGTGTGTGTGTGTGTGAGACTACCTGGTACGCCAGCAGGTAGCACAGTGCGGCCAGGTCAATGACGGCCCTCCACGTGTGTTGGCGATCCTGAGCCAGCTTCAACAGCAGTGTGGCAGCATGCATGTAGAGGTGACCTCTCATCTCCACAAACACCTCACAAAGATCGTCTGAGTGGCGGCAAGCAACGCTGCTCAGTGTCTGCATAGCTTTGTCAAATCTACACATAAAAAAACAAAAACAAAACACATGTTAATATACAGCTCTGTTGTGAAGATAAATAGTTGCCTGGAAGGTTGGAAACACATTTAAAATGACTCAGACATGAATGTTTTATGTCCTTTGTAAGTACAGAAACTTACTGACTTGTGACCAGGATGCTAAGAAGCTAAGGCTCGAGGGATATTACTCCAAAATCCAAAAATTAAAATAAAGTAGACTTTAAAAAAGGTCCAGTGTGTAACATTTAGGAAGATCTATTGGCAGAATATAATATTCATAGGTATGTTTTTATTAGTGTATAATCATCTGAAAATAAGAACTGTTGTTGTTTTATTACCCTAGAGTGAATGTTTTTATCTACAGAGGGAGTCCACCATGTTGAACTGCCATGTTTCTACAGTAGCCTGGAAAAAACCAAACGCTGACTCTCGGTAGAGTCTTTCACCAGCTCCATGTTAGGAAGGTTGAGCTACATTCAAATGGCTGCAATCTGCATCTTCACCACTAGATGCCACTAAATCCTACACACATACTGATCCTTTAAGAATTAGATTTGCTTTTATGGATACAGCTCGTCTATAAAATATGTATACAAACACTCTAGGAGCTCAACATGACCTACCCTCTGAGGGCATCAAGGCTGGGCTGCATGCTGCTCTCAGACAGTGTGATTCTCAGCAAGTTGCAGTGGGCCAGTAGCAGCTCCCTCTGGAGACGCCGATACATCTTCTCATTACTAGAGACGCTGGGCTGAGCTAGATACTCCTGCAACAAAAAGGTCATCCATTTTTTAAGAGTTATTTTCAAGTTAAAGGTTACATTTAAAAGATATGAACTACAACACGACAGCATAGAAGCTTTTAATAATGCATAGTGGTTTGACCCTGTCAAATGTTCACTGCTGCCTTTCCATGCTGACCTGCAGTGTGTGCAACACCACTGTGTACCAGGCCAAACTGTGGCTCAGCACGCCCCTTTTCTCAGCAGCCAGGCAGTGTTTAACGGCTTCCTCCAGCCGTCCGTCCTGGCAGAACAGCTGCACCAGCTTCACGTTTACATGAGCGTCAGCTGGCCTCGCTGCCAGCTCGGCCTGGAGGAGGTCGAACAACCGGTTCCAACCCTGCTGACCCTGACGACTCAACAACCGCTCCTGAGTACAGGGGCACAGACAAAACAAAGAGGGTCAGTGTGGGATGATTCTGTTTTAATTAATATGCACCTGCTTCCTCCCTCCTTCATGAAACGTTAGACATATGAGACAAGCAGTAGGATGTAGGCAGCTGTCGGTTAAACACAAGTTCAACAGTGCATAATGGAAGTCTAACTGGAGATTCAGCCTCACCTTCAGGTTGAAGACTGCAGGGTTTCCTGGCAGCAGCTTGTTAGCTTTCTCCACCCAGAACTCTGCTCTGCTGTCACATTCCTCCTTACTGACCAGCAACTCAGCCACCTTCAACACCAGGTCCCTCTGGGCCGGGTTCAAGTCCACTGACCGCTACACACACACACACAAACACACACACACACGCGCGCGCGCACACACACACACACAAAGAAGTGCAGACATGTGATCTATCCAAAGGGCACGACTGTTCCAAAAACAACATCACCAAAACATGAAAGGAGTCGGGGAAAGAAAGACCAGTAATACGGTTACTTTATTTATACTTCTGTGAAGTCACATGTTGAAGAGGGAAGTCTAATGAGGTTTTGGAATAAACAGTAAGAGTCTAAAAGGTAAAAGGACTGTAGAGGCCTCTGAGGGGGAAATAAAACTGACTTGTTTTCAGTGTTACTTTATCATCCTCTGCTTGACACATTCTCCTTCTCACAATGAAATAAAAGTGTGATTATGGTTTTATTTAATGCAGAAGCTACTTTTATTTAAGCTTTATGAGGGAAACACAGCCTATGAACATCAGTTAAGGAGCATGCTGATAGTTTTGTTACAGTATGTGTGACTTCTGACCATGTTTAAAAGCATACAGACTTTTATTAAGTCAGTTATATTATATAATAAAGTAATACAGGAGTGAATGGGACCGTCTGCCGGTGTTTAACTTTGTTGCTTTAAAACTGCTTCTAAATACAAGTGACAACAAATTTAACAGTTCTTTTTATAATGTTTTGTTTTTGTTTTTATAATTGTATTTAATCGTTTTGGATTTTATATTCTGTCAATAAGGTTTATCAGTGCTTTAGGAAGCAGACTCAACTATCACCATGTTAGAAAACACACAAAAGGCATTTTGTAACTTTCACATGTCACATAATTGAAACCAAAGACAGTACGAAAAACATCTAAAACATCACGGTATGTTATGGAAAATGGTCAGCAGACACTATTGGTCCTAAAAAAGATTGAATCACAATATTTTGTTTTGTGATATTGTATCGATCCACTAGATGTTGTTAACGTGAACTGGGTATAATATGACTTTAATGTTGGATGTTTGTGACATAAATACAAATGCAAACAAAAGTAAACCTTGTTTTACTCAGATTTTATGCATATTGTGGTTCTTTGTAATACGAGTTTCCCTAAAATTAGATTCTTAAAAAACTGCACTATAAATCGTGTCGCTTACAGTATCACAATATATTAAATCGTGTATCATCATGACACATATCCTATAGTCAGATTCTTACCAACAGCAGCCGTAGCAGATACAAACAGAAATCACGATTTGTAGAAATTAAATTTGCATTTGCTGTGAAGTAAATTCAACTACATGCAGAACAATGCGAGTGATTTCTCCTCCCAACAAAGGTATTAATATACCAGCCCAAAAATACCTGTTTGGTTGGTTCACCAATATTTAAGGTGGATTCCAAACAGACAGCTGGTATTTTAACTATAAATGAACTCTGTGCACTTTCGATAACAGAAGTGAAACGTTTCTGATCTGATGGACAACGACCAATTCATGTTGACGTAAAGTCCCAACTGGGTGAAAAACAGACACTTAAAAAGTTTAGGAATTAGGATGTTAGTTGAGTCAGCAGCCAAATGAGCTGTAATGCAAGCTACAGGTGAGACTTCTATCCAGGCAGCGGGACTCCTTGTCTGTAGTTAACTTTCATTTAATTCATTTTTAAATTCAATGTTATGAAACAGAACAGTTCTTCCTACCTTGTAACATCCTACTGCCTTGTTGATGTCTCCCTCTCTCTCGTAGAGCTGTCCAAGGAATTTGTGTGCTTTGGGATCTCTCTCCTGGACTTTCAGATACTCTGATACATGCCTAGAAAGAGCACAAAAACACACACCAAGATTGCCGTCAATATAATGGAGACTTCTCGAGAAGCAATAACACATTTTGTTCAACCACGGTGAAGAATGTCTGCTTACCTTTTTGCAAGTTCATATTCCTTCGCTTCGAAGTACAATTTAGCAAATAAAAACCCTTTGACTGGCTTCTGTGGAAAGAAAACAATGAAGATGAAGTGAACCAACAATGCCTTGAGCAATTATAAATCATATTTATCTGGCTTGTTATGTTAGCCAGCAGGCACGAAAATAACTTCAGTAAGAGTTACAAGTTAATTTACAAAAGGTTTCACTAGCACACACGTTTTGGGAGTTCTTGGACTAAAATATTTGAAACTCTGTCTGAGGTTTTAAAGAAGCAACTCAAACCAACAACCAGAATAATATGGTACGTTTAATAACATTGTTAGCACGAACACAGATTTAGTTGAACTGGAAGCAGAAGAACCCACCAGCTCACTCAAACATGCTGAACGACGCGATGAAGCATTTATAGTTAGAAAAAAGTTTACATTTTCACTGAGAGGAAAGTTGAAAATGTTCGATTTGATATGGGAACCTTTCACAGTTTCAACAGGCTGATCCCATTACTGGTAATTGATAACTCAGGAATGTACACAGTGATATCTATATATGAGAGAGAGGTATTATCTCAGACACACTTTACACTTGGTTACAGGATTATCTCCACTTCTGATTTACTGCCGGCCTTCATTTCCCACCAGACTGGAGCTGGTTTGTTGTGCAGGTTTAATACCTACAGTACGTGGTTACTCGTTCCTTTAGATACTGCGACGCCAGGAATTTAAATACGTTTTAAGCTTTGCACATTACAATAACAAGAACAAGTTTATCAGAAGTTTAATGTATTTTTATTATATTTTTTTAATGTTTGAATTGGAGTGATTTACTTTATTGATATTATTCAGTAGGTATTGATTGTTCTGGTACTATCTTGTAGTCATCTCGACCAGTGGTTCCCAACCTGGGGGGCACCAACTCTTCATGGGGGGGGTTGCGAGGCCTTCTTGATTTTAAGGTGTGCAATAAAACTTTAAAAATACACACACAGTAGGTCTATATCTTAGCATTTTGTTCACTTATGTGAAGAAATATTAATGTAAAGCATATTGTCTAACAGAAAAATGGTCAAGAAAACACTGAATCTGTTTAAAAAGAAGCATATTAACTTTATATGATTGTCAGAAATTATAATACACAAGGGGAAACTGCATAAAAAGTTCCATAAACAGGAAATAATCTGCACAAGATTAACTTCTTGTAATTACTCACAATTTAGGTTCATAGTACAGTTTTGAATATAATATTAAATATGAATAAATAATAGAAAAGGACCACAGGTTTGACACTTTATAGAATCATTCTTTACATTTGTTTGTAGTTTATTTCACCTCCATTATCATAAACATAAAATAACCCACACACATATGGAGATTAACCCCACTGTTGCCCCCTTCCTGCTCTTCTGCCTGGGGCAACTTTAACTTTACCTTCAGTTCACAGATTAATCCAGTCCCCAGATAAACAACCATTAACCTAAATCACATATTCCTCAGTCCGGTGGTAGAGGATGAAGCCACGTTGTTTCCACATGTACACAACAACTAGCTGTAGGTAGCAGAGGGCAGCTAACAGCCAACAGCCCCGCGTTTTCTGGGCATTAAGAGGAGGGGGGGGGGGCATTATGCCGGTTAGCTGCTAGCGCTGTTAGCCGCTGAGGGTGAGGTTACCACGGACCACACAACGCGAGGTAAGTGATTAAACGTTGGGGGGGGTATTTTGTTTGTTGCCCCGGGGTTGAGGCTGTCTCCTCGCACCGGACACACACACACACACGGACACACACACACAGCTGCTGACGCCATGGCAGCGGGATGCTAACGTTAGCTCAACTTACCTCTTTGAGTGAGGGAGAGGAGCTCGTTACTGTGGAGACGTAACGGTCCACTTCGGCCTTACTCCGCCGCATAGCTCCCACGAGATACCGGCGCTCCTAGCAACGGCTCCGCGTAGAAGTACCGGCCGATTCACAAAAGTATATATATATATATTTATATTTAAAAAAACTTGACATGAATTATTATCGCCTCGACTGTCAGTCCACGGCGTTAACTCCCCATGATGGCGCTACTGCGCAGTCTCGTCGCCGTCAAATGGCAGTGTGGTCACGTGGGTCGTGTTCGTTCTTGAATCAGGCTCGTTGACCAATCAGAGCCGAGCATTGGGTTTGACGCACAGTGACGCACTTTATTTTGAAGGATTGGTGGGGTGGCTGCAGGTGAACCGTCTGGACCACAGACTCTGTTTGTAAAGGTGTAATGGGGTAATTCAAATAGTCTGTAATACTTCTAATAAAAATACTATATAAAACACAAATTTAATTTTATTTATTATTATTTAAACCACAATAAATATCTTATTTTCTATTGCTATGTATATTATAATTTAATGTAAATATTTGTACACACTCTTATTTATATTTTTTCTATCTTCTATATATATTGTAATTTAATGCACACATTTTAACGCTCTTCTTATTATTTCTTTTTCTTATAATGTCTTGCTTAGCAACAGAAACCGCATATGTTGTCAGTTAAGTTGTAACTGGATGCTACGAATTTTAAATCTAGGGAATCTGTCATACTTTGTTACGCTCTGACACAGGTGTGAAAGCTTAAATATTACTTCTATATTATATTACATTATCACATTACCTATTTATTCATCACAACTCCACTGATACTGTTATGTTGTACTATATATTGTATATATAGATAGATAGATAGATAGACTATTAATATATGGTATGTCACATATGTTGTACTGCAGGAAAGAGAACAGTGTACAAGTTTAATATAATGACAATAACACTGAATTGAATAAAACACAACAACATGCACACTGGTAGCATTGACATACATGTTTATTCCAATGCACTGTCTTAGATTCAAGTCTTCAACATGCACTTTGGTGTGTTTACGTGATATAATATTGTCTCTTGACAAACATTGTGGAGATAAAATACAGTATATAAGAGCAAAGTCTGTCGGTGTGGAGTCAGTACCGTCTCCCAGGTAGTATGATATCAAATAAAACTATCCACTGGACTATTTTTAGTCAGTCCAGTGGATAGTTTTACTTCGACGTGACATTTGATAAATGTTGTGGCATAGGCAGTGACATTCATACCAGTAACATAGGTTTTGTATTTCCATAAAACAGCGGAATGTGTTCTTTCTAAACTACTATGTAAAAGATAAGCGATCTACGTCAAAATACTGCGCAAGTGAAACATTTTCAGAGCGGAAATTATTCTTTCCCATTCACAACAGTTGGCTTTCTTTCCTAAGAGGGTCTGAGCCCCGAGGAAGTCGGTACACCTCTCTAAGAGGATCACTTTCTCTGGATTACAAACAGCAGAGACATGTTCTCTAACATCTAACTTTACTCCCCACATCCGGTCTCTGCACATGCCACCAGCCATCATGTAGTAATGCACACAGAGTTACCAGCTGCTACACAATAAATCCTGTTACTGTGAAGCTTATTATGTTCAGTATTTGTTGACAGCGTGACAGAGGTGTTGCTTCACACCCCGTCAGCTTTAAGATGTATACATGATGTTGAATTGGACTACTTTGAAAGGTGAAACTAATAGTAGATGAAACACAAATTGAACGATACAAATGTGGGATTTATTGTGAACCTAATAAGCTGGTAACTTAGCGTAAACACCAGTTTATAAAGAGGCTGTTTCACACATACAATTCATACCATATAACAAGGCAATCCAACATAATGCAGGTGATGGTTGAGTCCATCACTGTAGCATTGATGAGGATACAGTATGATGTCAATAAACTCTAGAAATTTAAATGCTATAGAGCTAAATACAAACTTACTTTGCATAATATTAAAGGAAATACACATCAATAATACACAGACATGTTGGTGGAAAGAGATATTATATACACATTCTTTGGCTTTACTCCATTATTATACAAGAGTATCAGTAACATGAGTTCTTTTTTAATAATTCTCTTAAAGCTTGTGTCATTTTGACAACACAGGACCATCATCATCTGTGTTAATACAGGTTTAATATATATAGTGAACTAAGGCAAGCATGTGAGAAATATACAGTGCAGTATTTGAGCCAAAAGGCACTGAACAGGTTAATGTTAACCCCACTGACTGACCAACAATCAGTCTCAGGCTCCATGAAATGATCCTCTGCAACTGAAATCCTAAATTTAACATACCAGTTATATAAAAACACACTATTGCTATCTTAAACGATTGTCAATTCTGGAAATGTGACTTGCACGGCCACCGTGGGGCCTCGTCTATTTCCCCCCTCCAGCTGTTAACTGTGTGTTTACTTCCGGGCCACAGTTTCAGACAGCTTCTTCAGCCTCTTCTTCAGCTCCAGAGGGAATTTCTCGTAGCACTTCTTGCACACTGGCTTCATGTCAAACTCCACGAACTTGTTCCTGTGGCAGATAGAGTTACAGGTTGGAGGTTAGATGCCATCACTCCCAGTATGTACATATCTATGTGTCTAGTCATCTACTAGCATGAGAAATGGGTTAGTAGCTTGTTTGTTTGTAGCTACACTTTATAATCTTACATTTCATATCCTTACAAACTACTTCTGCAAACAGCACATAAACTGAAATGCTGATATGAATGTATTATAAAAATGGTCAAAGGTGAATATTGTGTATTTTCAATTATTTATTATTTTGATCAGCAGCTGAGTGGAATTGTATTTTTGTTGTAACGCTGTCATATTACATCTTGTCCTTCTTTCGTCTTTATAGTTTATGAGAATTAAAATCCTTTTTTAGATTACTTATCAATCTCTTAGCTGGACTTTTTGGGCTTTTTAGCCATTATTGACAAATAGAGTAGAGAGAGGACACATGGGAGGAAAGAGGTGGAGAGACGGATGACGTGACCCAAAGTCCTCTGCCAGTTTTAATTTTTGAACGTTCTTGATATTTTTTTGTGAACTTTGTTTGAATGAAAGCAACCATGTACACCAAGACTGTCCATTTCTGATGTAGAACCACATGCAGATTAATACTTTTCTTAACTTTTCTTCATGATTGAAATAACATATTTTGAGAAGTGTGAAGGCTTTGCAGAGGTAAAATGTGCTTCATGAGTGGTTGTTTTCTGTATTAAATGCCTTTAATTCCACTAACACTGACAAGCTCCCTAAACCTTTCCCCCCCGCGCCTGCTGCCCTGAACGACATTTCCTCCCAAAGCAGATAATCACTGGAGAGCACATGTCAAACCCGGTGGGGCCTCAGCACTTCCACTGCTGTAGCCAGAAAATCCGCCGGAAGTGATTAAGGCTTTACCCTTTATACCCAGACGGGCCGGGAGACCCAGGAAACAACGCATTCCCTTCCCCATGTGACTGATCAGATTTTCTGTTTGGATAGCAGTACCAGCATTAATCCTGGGTAGAGTTTCTGGCTGGGAAGTGGCCATGAACTGAAAGCAGTGTTAAGTCACCCATATGGTCAGTTTGTGCATATTCACCTACTAAAACATGGTGCTATGCTTGAAAGGCAGATGGACTAAGAATAACAGTGATATGAGGAATAAAAGTGGCCATGGAGCATGTTTGAAATATGAATGAAACAGAAAATGAATAGACAACAGAAAAAGGAAAGAAGATGGAAACTGACCAAAGGAAGAACAGTGGAAGTGAGGAGAAAGGAGAAAGAGGATCACAGACACATGGGTATCAATAATTTCTTCTTCTTCTCTTTAGAGTCGCGTTCACGTTTGGCCAGCCGGCGTTTCATGTCGTCCGGCAGGCGTTCGTAGCAGTGCTTACACACCGGCTTTAGATCCACCTCCACAAACTTATCCCTGATAGAGCAGGGAGGAGGGAGAGATGACAAAGGGGTGTGAAAGAAGGGGGAAGAGAGGACGAAGGGCAGTTGGAGAGGAGGAGAAACACATTGAGGAGACAAAAATAGAAGAAATAGAACAATGAGAAAGAAGGAAGAAAAGGTAGAGAAGAAATTTGGGGAGAGGACAGGGGAAGGAAAAGTGGAGCAAGAGAAACATAGGACAAAAAACAGGGATGATGAAAAGGAGAAGCCCACAAAGACACAGGATGAAAGAGAAAAGTAAAAAAAATGAACAGTACATAAAGATAGACAGTTAACAGCAGCAAATAGTCCCAGACACACAGTAGTTGTGAAAGAGAAAAATAACATGCAAAGAGAGAGAGCTTACCCAATTCACACGTACATTTCTGAATATAATTAACACCAAATGAGTACGTAATCTAGGTTAAAATGCATGGATTGAGTCCCTTAGACTCTTGGATTTCTTACTTGAGGGTGAGCTTGGTGTTGCAGGTAGAGCAGGCAAAACAGTTGACACACCAAGCCTTGTTGAGGGCAGACACCACTGACAATAAACAGAAGAAACACTGTCAGATGATCGTCATGTGACTAGTTTAAAATCTAATTTTCAAAGAAATCCACATACAATGAATGGATCAAAATACAGTGAAAGTGCTTTAATGTGATCAGGGCTGCACAATGAGCGACATTATCACCACTACATTACGTATTTAAAACAAGGTTTCCTCACCATCTCCTTCAATAACACGATTGCAGTGGTAGCAAACATCTCCAAACAGCTGGGTGTGACCAGGGCGAGAGAAAACAAAGAGTCAGAGTTAAATCAAAGAGTTATGAAAGTATGCAACACAATGCAGCTCTGGCAGTCTTTATCATGGCTCATACAACATGCTGTGTTCACAAAACATGCAAATAAACACAGATTACTGAGGTATTTTATAAACTTCCCTGGAAGCACAAGTATTGTGTAAACTACAAACACTCTCAACACTAGGTGGAGGCATTGCATGGACTTTCTGATCCAGCATAGTTCAGAGTAAATTTTGTTTAAAGTCATTTCTTGAGAATTTGAAGTCAAATAAAATACACATTTCACTGTGAAACCTTTCTTTTTCATATTATTGAGTTATTCAAACGTACTTTTAAAAACAAGTAGTAGCCAACTGTAACTAGGTCAAACATTTTCTTGAGTATATTTTTGTTGATGCTAATGTATGCAGTCTTGTATATGTATCTAAACATTTTCAGAAACAAAGAAAAGAACTAAAGTGGGACCAAGTAGATTATCTCATATATACCAGTATGTGTGGGACATCTCCAAAAAGTTTTTTCTATTATGTTTTATATTCAAATATCTGCCAGTTGTTGTAATTCAAAGAGAGGATTAACTGTAATATTGATCAAAATGGTGCATTTAAGTACAATATTATAGACTGAAAAACTGTGGCCATCATCAGTTCTCACTTATCACATGTTTTAGATACTTTGCATACTATAAATGGAGCCAGAGGAGGAAATATCCCACAACAGGTAGAACATGGCAGGATGTTTGAGTGTTACCTGGTTATAGTGTGTTTCACAGTAGGCCAGGCCCTTGCGTTCGTAGTGACGGTGTCCCAGGAAGGGTTTCTCACACTTAGCACACACAAAATGCTGCAAACAAAAGCACGGCCAGGCACACATGGTTAGCACAGCCGTCGGTCAGTACATTATCACATTCAGGCAGCAACGCAGTCTGGCTCAGATATTATCAGCTCAGACCACAACCAGATCAGTTCAGTCCAGATGTCCTGTTACTGCATCCAAAACAGAGTACAGAGAGTAGGGGAGACGGACAGAAGAGGGAACTCTAGAGGGCATAATAATCCTCCAAACAGACATGTGAGGAGTTAATGGTAGGGTATTAAAGGGGAACGTACACTATTTTTATTATAATGCCCATTTAAGCCCTCACAAATAACTGAATGAGGAGCCCTCGTGTCTGTGTGTGAGTATGACAGAGCAGGGTTACACTAATATGGTTCTGTAAAGCTAAAACAAAAGGTGATTTTGATGGAAGGGTTTGCTGACAGTTTTTTCAGCCAGAATTAAATGTTTTTAAATAAAATAAAGAGCAGATTTTGCCCATCATTTTATTCCTGTAGTGTGTAAAAATCCTCTGGCAGATATCATCATCACATTAGATATCACCAGACATTAAAACTCTTCAGAAACCCTTATCAACCCATTTAATCCCAAACAGTTTGCTGCTGTGAGTACATTAATTATTATCTCTTGGATCAACAAACCTATTAGATACTCAAACTTTATGTCTTTTATCATATTTTTTCTTTGACTGAGGGAAATCAGTCAGAATGAATAAAAACTATTTTCAGAGCATACAATAAGTTAAGATATAGTAAGAAAGAAAATTATTATGTTAGAATTCTTATCTCAGGTAGTTTTCTTTTAGGAAAATGTAATACTATTTAACAATATAGTGCAACATAAATGTGGAGATAGGAAAAGAAACACATTTGAGGTAACTGGGTTGAAAATATGATCCGTCATCGAGACAAAATTTAAAGAAATCTGGCCTATAAGATCTCAAGATGTGCTGTGGAACTCTATATTAGTGTAACCCTTGTATGGAGGCTGGGAGATCAATCTATCAATGCATGGAGAAGTGAGACACGGGGCAGCAATCAACGTCAGGCCGATCCATAATCCCCTCACCATGTCAAAGTGTCTCTCACAATAGGCACGACCACCTCGCTCATAAAATGGGTGGCCCTGAAAGGGCCGCTCACACACAGTGCACACATGATGCTACATGTGGAGGAGGAAAGACAGGAAAATGGCCATAAAATGTGAAATGATGAAGAGAGGAAGGGGGAATGACGTCAGAGAGAAAATAACAAAGAGGCAGACAGATAATGGAGGAACGATACACACGGCTCGGAGATGGAGCGCATTGAACTGTGGAGATAAAGCTGGTAAAAGTATGAGTCACACATATGGCACATATTAAAGTGAACTCAAAGGATTGAAATGAATAATAAAAAAAAAAGAACAGACAGAACAAAACAAAGGCCAGAGAGACATTACTTTCAGTTTCTATAGCGTATGTACAATTTCAAGTAAATTACATTTTACAGCAAATCCATTAAAGATTTATTGTAAATATTCAGACGTCTGTTCTGAAAGCAGAGCAAACACAACATAGACACTATTCATAAATACATCTGGAACCAATCTGGCACTCAATACCAAACAAATGAGCATATTCATCTTCTTCAATGCAAGTTTGAATCTAATGTAGACATTTAAGTAGTTTCTCCTAAGCTTCAGGTAAGCGAGGATGTTTTTAAAAGTTGTACAGTTTAACAACATACCTCAACGTGCCACTGCTTGCCCATGGCATTAACCACACGGCCCTCGATGGGTCTCCTACAGGCCCCGCAGATGGGGACACCCATCTTGTCATGGCAGGGCAGACAGTAGAGCTCTCCCTTCAGCTCCCTGGCATCAGCCGTCAGCTCCTTACTGTAGAGACAGAGGAGAGTGAAACTAGATCAGCTCTACTTTCACTCAGGTAACACAGACTAGTGCAAATGAAGGGAAGAAATAACCAAATGTGGTGGAAAAACAAGACGCATGATGGGGTTGAGGTTGTATTTATAATGCAACTTTTTCATATAAGATGTCGTTTGAATGCCTTTTATGTGTACATACAATTACAACAATTACATAGTTTGTCCACCAGAGAGCAGTGTTTGCTCCATCACCTTGTGGCTGATTGAAAGTGAGTATTTGTTGCATTTGTAATCTTATTTGTTTGTAGTTTTCAAGATGAGATCATTTCATCAGTGAATATGAAATATGTATCTTATGATAATCATGGATGATCTGTGTCATCTCGATATATACAGCCACTATCCTAACATCAGAATCAGGTTTATTGCCAAGCAGGTTTTCACACATGAGGAATTTGCCTCTATTAAAAGCAGGCGCTGCAAGTTAAGAAGCATGAATAGGAAACAGAAACTGACTTTAAAATATGAAAAAAGATTACATATACATAGATCTAAAAAGAGGGTGTAAACCGGGCAGCATAATGGCTGCTTAACAAATGAAGTGTGACGTGTTTTCAGGACCTGACGCAGCTTGCAGCCCCCATCAACTGTAGCATCTGGTCCTCCCACTGCCTTCATGCTCTGAATGATGACTGATAAAGACTGACACATCCAGCCAGGTGTGTGTGTGTGTGTGTGTGTGTGTGTGTGTGTGTGTGTGTGTGTGTGTGTGTGTGTGTGTGTATGTGTATGTGCGCACGCTTACCCGCAGTTGTTGCAGTTGAAGTGATCGGGGTGGTAGGGGTCATTCTTGAACAGCAGAGGCTGCTCCTCGATAATGGCGTGACACTTCTGGCAGACGTACTTGCCGAGGCCCCGAGCTTTCTCTCTGTTGTGACATGGACGACACAGGTGCCTGATGGAGGGAGCGAGGAACAGGTGAGAAAGGAATTAATTACCATCCTTCAGAAACCTCACCCACAGCGAGATTTCATCACCACAGGTTAAAGGAAGTGTTCACATTTTTTTGAATCTGTCACAATACTACGGTTACAACACATTGTAATCGGTCCTCCTGTCCAGACTCGCCCTGAAGAGATCCTTTCTTGAAGTGATTTAAATGTTGTCGTGTCATTTTGTGGAAGATTTACTTTTAAAGTTCAGCTGAAGCTAATAAGAGTTTGACTCAACATTCTGAGATTGACAAAATAAGAAGGGATCATTCAAAGGTATAGTTCAAAATTCCCTCGTGTTAACGCCACTGCAGCTCAGCAAGGACATACTATTTGGAAAAACACAAAGAAAGAATTTGGTACTAAAAACACTAACTTCAGAGGATATCGGTGTCAAATTTCTGTGTAATAATATTTTGAATACAGGTCAAATTTTACATTCACAAATGATTTCTTTTAAAGTTGCTCCAAATCTTGTTGCATTTATAAATGACTTCTTCAAATCCTTCAGAAAACAGGAAGAGAGGAGTGCCTTAAGACTCTCTGAATAAGCTGAGTTTTATACTGATTAAACCCCATTTAAGTTTTTTGTAAAACAGAAAAACTTGGGAAGATATCTACTTGATTTGCATTAGGAAGGGATCTCTTCAGGTTCAATGTGAACAGGAGGAACAAAACAATTTCAGTGTACAGACGAGCAAGTGAGTATCGTTTTCTCCGTATCTGAGCCTGACACAACATACAGCACAGAACAGCAAGCTACATCATACTTCTCTCTTAATACTGGCTTTCTGACACTTTTTATCCCAATCTTTGAGGCAGGACATTTAAAAGGAGGTCAAGGAGGAGAAGGTACTGAGGATGCAGTTGTAGAGACATCAGTGCCAGATAAAACAGCATCATAGAAAACATCTCGTAGTAGACATAAACCTGGTTGTAGAGGAACTGACCTTCCAGCATTCTTAACAAATCCAACATCAGCGAGCACCGCCTGGCAGAGATCACAGCAGAAACAGTCTGGATGCCAACTGTTGTTCATAGCCTTGATCACACGGCCAATGATGAACTCACCTTGTAGAAGAACAACAGAGTATTATGGAGAACTTGTTCAACACCAAACAGTTGATATTTATTATTTAAAAGGGCATTAACTCTCAACAGAGACCCTTAACGGATCAGGTACTCACCACACTGGTGGCAGCAGGGAGCAAACAGCATCTGGAAGTCATGTTCACAGTATTTCCTGCCTTCAAACTGTCAACAGAGTCCAAACAATTTGTACACAATTAGTTAAAACACACAGCTGTACACAATATAACAGAAATTACATTAGTAAACAATATAATCCCTTACAAAGCTATACAATATATACACAAATATATTCTAATATTAGATATAATAGAAATAACAGCACCGATGTGTCTTTGTTACCCAGCTACAAGTATCACTCAATGTCCAACGTTTCCTCATGAAAAAGTAAATCTCAATGTAGAACTGCTTCTGACAGTAAAACGTCCATGTTGGAGTTCTGTTATTTTGGCACTTTAGGCTAAAGCTGTTAAATGTGACGAATCAAATTAGTAGAAAAAAGCAGTCGAGGGACAGGCTGGAGAGGATAGCTGATACAGTTTAATGACAGCAGCTGTGAAATCTCACACTACTAGACGAGGAGGAGAAATGAAGGGAAGCCAGAAAGCAAAAAGGGGGAAAAGAGCAGAAAATATTTGAATGACCCCTTCAGGCTGAAACCTAAATTTGCCAGACGCTGTAAAAATGTGACTTGTTTGAGTACAAACTCGAAAAGATGGACGGCAGACTTAGCAAGGAAGGGTTCTTTATTTTGTCTTTCTCACTGTGTTGAATGTGCAGCACAAAATGCAGATTTGGGGTTAAAAAATCTAAATCACATGTCCCAAGTCACAAGTCCCCATGTGATACTAGTCTGTGGAAGCATGGCTGTATACTGTACGGTATAAACACACATTCCTAACAGCCATCAGTGCACCGTGGATTCACACTTTCGGTACAAAAGCATTGTTTAATACAATATATATATAATGAGGATATTAAAAAAAGACATCTATTTAGAATTTCTACATAGCGAAAATGATTTTAATAGTTCTTGGTGTGGATTTTTGTTATGTTTTTAACACAAATGATGGATTCTTTAACCTTTAAATTTTAAAACTTTTAAAAACACATTTGTAGTTGTAGTCGATTTACCCACTGATATTTAGTGGACTGTTGTTTATGTATGGCTATAAGCAGAATTATTTACAGGGAATCAAACGTTTGTGTAATGCCATTGATGTTCATATTGATCGCAGCATTAGAGACACCTTCCCTTTGATAAACAGAGGAGCGCCAGGCTCTCTGGGGCCTGCAGGAGAGACTTTTGGACTTGTGTCAAGGCTAGTGAGCAAAGAGCTTACTGGAAATGGGCTTCTTATAATTCAGTGCTGCATTAAGGGTCTTTATTTACCTCAACAGGACCATGTGTTTAGATTCTTTGTCTGAGGAATGTGCGCTAACAACAGCCTTGCACGAAACAGTGATCTAACTGTCTCTAAAGAGAAAGCCAGTTCATTGACCCATCATGGCCACTTGTAGGAGTATTTGTACTTTTGAAATCCAAATGCCCTCTAGGTGTGTCAGTTACTGCATCGTGCATCTTTTATTGGACGATAAAGTCCCACTGACAAGACAATGGTGTGGACAAAGTGTTACCTCATAGAAGAGTCCCTCTGGGAACTGCTGGAAACACTGGGCGCACACAAAGCACTGCTCGTGGTAGAGTTCCCCGTTGCTGTTCACTATCTTCTCAGCCGGGGCGAAGCCACTCTTGCAGCGCTCACACATGGCATTGGCCAGAGCGTTGGCCATGTTGCTGGAAAGAAGAGAAGATCAGAATCAGGATCAGAGTACACTGATGCCGTCAAAACACACATTAAAAATCATTAATATAATAAGCAGGGAATGCAGAATTTACAGTAAAATGAATCACACTGCAACCAATGCAACAGAGAATATAATATTTACTGTACACAGGTCTGCTAGTAGAATTCTAGTTTACTGCTGATTTATTATATATTCACTGTATTAGTATAGCACTATATTTGACTATTTTTGTTTGGTTATTGGAACTGGTGTCCAATTCTTTCAGCTTTTCTTTAACTTCAAGAAGTTTCAAACTAAATTGTCTCAAACAGACAAGTGTGATCAGTGTTTTATGATTTTATTGTTTGTTAATAAGAAGATTTCTGCTTTATCTAATCTATGTTTTATGTCTGAAGTACAGTATATGTTTTGATATCTTGATTTAAAACAGTAAGTGTAGTGTATTCTTCATACATTGTTTCTGTAAGTATTATTTCTTCTTCTTCTTATTATTTCATATCAACGACCTAGAGACAGACAGATAATGGAAACTACCAAGGTCATCTCAGGACTCACCTAACACCAATATTATAACATCTATCAAATGTTTCTCCTGTCATGAAAACCGCTGGAAGATGTTCTCAGCAGAAGGACAAAGTAGAGATGTGAGGGGAAAATGTGACGTAAGAGGTAATCAGCCCATGCAAACACACACACACACACACACACACACACACACACACACACACACACACACACACACACACACACACACTATATCTTGATTCTAGGTTTATTTTGGCTCTGCTTATCAGGGTGCGGGAGTCAACGAGGTGGGAAACCTGCATGTTGTCTTATGAGAGACAAGCTGTTTCATCTGCACTGTTTAAACAGAGTATCTGAGGAACAAACCTTGTGAGACCAAGAGTTAGTATGACATATGAAGGCAATCCTGCCCTTTTATTAAACAATCAGAATTGTTTTATGGCCGTACTGCAAAACATAACTGTAATATATCAACGGGGCAGGGCCGCAGGCTAATAATTTTTTCCACTGGAGGTACTGGTGCCAGAACCTGCAGCACAAATGTGGGCACACCCAAAAAACTGCCAACGGCTTCATAATGGGGTATTTATTCACGTTTATGTTTTTTTATTATTTGTCACAGCACAAAGAGGTAAAAAAACTTTAAATTCACCTATGTTAGATGTTAGAGATGATTGACACTAAGTCCTTCAAATACAACCCTTCATACAGCTGACTTACTCTCCTATTTAGGAGTTAGGGTGTTATGGATGATTGTGGCAGAGCAAACTCTTCACCAGTGGGCATTTCTCTATCGTCTCATGGTATGTATATATATATATACACACACATATATACACATATACACATACCGCCGAACTCTACTCCTATCACACATTTATGCTTAGGCTGAACTTTGACGAATGCCTCCAAATAAGGACCAGAAAACAAAATGATCACACTGTTTCGAACCACACAATAACAACGCCGCTTAACACCTGCCACGAGCTGGAAGTGAATAGGGAACAAGTTGCAGGCAGAAAGAGAAAAGGAAAAAGGAAGAGAGAACGGTGGGACCATCCTGGCTTGTCTGTTTTGTTTGAAAGGTCAGAATACCAAAGTGTATCCAGGCAACACACACACACACACACACACACACACACACACACACACACACACACACACACAAAATGTAAGATTTTTATGGAGTGATGCCATCTGTTCATATTAACTTAGTCAATTTGGGACTTAACAAGAATTCCAAAAACTCCCAGACTCACTGCTCAACACTTCAGTTTTGTCATTTTAACAATGCACATCTCAGCTCTGCCGAATGTCTTTCTGCAACACACACACACACACACACACACACACACACACACACACACACACACACACACACACACACACACACACACACACACACACACACACACACACACACACACACAAAGAAAGGTAACTGCCATACCCTTTTCTACTACATTAAAACAAGATGCAGGAACACAGACAGCTTCCATCTGGGTCCACTCCTCACAGACTTATCAAATGCATATTGTTTTATATACCCTTGTCTGGCCTGGTATCACACACACTGACAGCCCTGCCCTGTCCAAAGGATTTGTGGGAGGAAGTGATACATCCCTTAGGCATTTCCACCCTCCTATCTGCCTCCAGCACCAAGCCTATAAGCAGTTGAAGGGCTACAACAAAATAGGTTGTCTTTGTTAAAAATGCAATGGCCATATTCTCACAGTCCATATTGCTGTAACACCCACTACTTAAAGAGGAGTTCGACAGAAGACCAGTCAGTCTCAGGGAGTCGTTAGTGTTGCACAGAGGACATAATCCCTCACCAGCGTCCCAGTATGTTACATGTGGTCATGTCAATGGTAATGCTGCCAACTACTATCCCTGGATATGGCAGATGTGGCAGGGTGCTTTGTCCCCTGTGCACAATCAAGGCTTCCCAAACAGTGTGCTAACTTTATTGACTTTGGTAACAATATTTATAGTCTTCAGCTGACTTCCAGTGTGTAACATTTAGGTTTTATTAGCAGAATGACTTCCAGTGTGTAACATTTAGGTTTTATTAGCAGAATGACTTCCAGTGTGTAACATTTAGGTTTTATTGGCTAAACTGGAACATAATATTCAGATGATCATTATGTTTTTGTTCCTTTAAAATTAGTAATTTTTATCTACAGAGGGAGTTGGCCCTCTTCTATTGAGTCTATGTTGAAGCGCCATGTTTCTACAGTGGCCCAGATCAGACAAACCAAACACTGGCTCTAGATAGGGTCTTTCATGTTTTGCAGCCACCGTAGTTTCTCCTATATGCTCAGTTAGATTAGACTAGATTTAATATAAATACAATTTAAACATAATAAATGATACTTAAAGCTATTTTCTAGATTCAGCATCAGTTTTTAGCAAATGTTTGAGGCAGAAAAAGGCATCGTAACCCAGACAGATGAAAGTAGGTTGGAAGCAGGTTTCATCCACATATGACTCTCCTTCCCCCCTGTTAAGCCCCCCATGCTGGCCTGTGACTATAAATGGAGTCTGGTTGTCAGCAAAGAGAAAGGATGCAGACTATCACTTCTGTTATGAATACCTTCTGTTGCCTCCACCCTCCCTCTCCTGGCCTCCACTTGTCTTCAGTTTCTTTTCTTTAGCATCTCCTCTACTTCTCTCTCAGTGGTACGAACACATCTGTCACTGAATCTCTCTTACAGTATGACAATATAATGGAAAGATGAGATCTAGATATTGCTGACAGCTGTCTGAATATTCAGAAGTCAATGGTGTTCCTGAGCACAGACTTCTTACTGCACTGCCTTCTCAAATTCTTCACTATTTTGACCAGTAACTTTAGAGAAATTACAGACTCCAACATCATTGGATATTTGTGTTTTCTCAACCCCAGTTTGTGTACAGCATTCAAATCATACTGATGGACATGGACAAGGTTACATATCTGAACATATCAACTGACCAAAGATGTTACTAAATTGTGTCTGTGGTGGACAAGCTTTTTTTGTGCAATACCCCTCAGAGTCACTTATTTCAAATACCACAGCTAATAGAGCTTTACTGTCTCCATGACTGACCGGACTCACTGCTGCTTGCTTGTGACCAAATTTAGTTTTTATTGTCTCCAACACAAGAAAGAAAAGCTTCAAAATGTCCCTTCACAAACCTGGGGGTGACCCTACGTCCATGTTTTCCTACAGCCTACAATGATGCCAGATCAGTCAGAAATACGCTATGTATATTTAGCCTTCCTGTCCCTCATACTTTGAATGCCAGTTGACATATTCTACTTTGCATAACAACTCCCCCCTTTGGCACAGAAATAGCCCTTCTTGTGTGCTCCCTCCTGTAGCGCTCAGAGCAAACATGGCACCTAAGGCAGCTTAAGCAAATCAAACTGGCTGGTAAATCCAGCTACTACAATATCAGAATTCTTCACATTCTGTAACACTACAGTAAGCTCAGAGCATACAGACTCGTACCACGTCAGTGTAGGAGCAGACTGAATTCCTTAACGCACACATCCACTACCTCACCACATTTTTTTCCTATCAGTTTAATTGGTATGTTAGTTATCTGTGATGGTAATTCAGTATTCATCCAACATCTGGACTCCTGTCCCAGTCTACGCTCTGTGAGACTCTCTCAGAGATGCTGCAGTTCGGCGTTAATGAGTATTGGTTGACGACTTAAAGTAGAGGTGTGTCCCTGAGAATTAGACCATCATATTAAAGCCATCCACACTTTTTGGTGGGTCAGCAGATAACGTAGGTTTCACAAAAGGTTTTACAAGCTGCTGACTAAAATCTGGTGAAAAATCTCACATATGAGTAATAATAATTAAACATATTCACTAGCTATCCTAGGTTCCAGTAATTAGATTTGTTATCTTTTAGAGGTAAGCTTCTTCACTAAGGCAACAACTAACTATAGTGCTTTAACTCCTTTCTTTTAAAGTGTGTACTTACAAGCGAGCATAGAAATCACAAAACTCCTTATAGACTTTAACATCGCTCTTTCGTCTCTGGGATTTGGACACTGGGACCTCAGCCTCTCCCCCGTCACCACCCTGAAGCCTCTGGTGGTAACCGTTAATCCCCCCGTGAGGAACATGGTCCGGGGCTTCTGCATCCTCAGGTATTGACGGTGGCAGGGCGCGACCATTCATCTCCATACTCATCTACAACTGTCCAAATTAACTTAAAAAAAAAAGTCCATCTAACAACAAAATCTAAAAACTCCGGTACAAATCCCCAGTGCTTGTTAAATGTATGTTTCCAATCCAGTAAGCAGTGGGAGCTTTAATCCACATAGCAAGAAGCAGAGCGAAACACTGATCAGACTGCGCTTGGTGTACTCCCCTTTCTCTCTCTCTCTCTCTCTCTCTCTCACAAACGCACACACACACCGTCTTTCTCTCACTCCCACATCAACTCTTTCTCTTTTTTCTCTCGCGCACACACACACAAACACACACACACACACTCACACACACACACACACACACACACACACACCCCTCCTGTCACACTCACTGTCTATTCTTGGGCAGGTTACTGAAATTAAAGAGCCCACCCTGACGCCTGTCCAGACAGAGGTCACTGTGCCATCTCACACACACACACACACACACACACACACACACACACACACACCTTAACTGTATTTTTACAGCTTTCCTAAAATCGACAGTCTATGGCTAATATCTACACATGTTATAAATCCGTGTGTGTGTGTGTGTGTGTGTGTGTGTGTGTGTGTGTGTGTGTGTGTGTGTGTGTGTGTGTGTGTTAAACAGCTGGAGCTCTCAGCTTTCTGGGAGATATAACAACGTGGCTCCAACTCAGAATTGCGCAAGTAGGAATGTCACACAGGGAAGCAGAGAAGCTAAAGTAGGATGATACTAAATAACAGGAGCAGTGGAGATAACAAACGACTGTTTATTTCAGTCATTGTATAAACACACAATGGAGCAAGAAATCAAGTGGCAGTATGTTTAGACACGAGGGCTGACATTTGAGCCACATATTGTCTCATCAGTGTCACCCTCCTGGTATGAGGGATGCAATGCAGTTTGTAGAATTACATATTAATAGTGTAACAGATCAATGCTACACTGGTTGGGATCTGAGGTCAGCTGCGTGCATGCTCCCCTTGGCTGGTTTGGTCTTGGCACACTTTCACATTCACCATTTCCAAACACATTCTGACGTGATGGTTTGCGTACTGCTTATTTTTGGCAGTCGAGGCCTCTGACAGGAAGTCTTCTCCCAGTGAGACAACAGAACGGCTCCAATATCAAGTTTAAAACATCTTCTTGAAGCTATCTAGCTAGCTACAATTATAAAATATGTTAATCGTCCTTAGAGATACCATATTGGTCTAAGCCTAGGCATTCCTTTAAACCCATGAATCTGTGTCTCTTCTTGGTAAATGATAGCTCTTCATGTCGTTAAAAACCCAACCAGCATCTCAAATTAATGACCACTTCCCGAACCATCAAAACAACACAAAGCCAGATCCGGAAATACACTCCAGTGAGACAAACATGTTTGACGCTCCATTGGAGAACAGCTGCTGCGTTCATCCTTAAAAACGAAGGGATGTACAATGAATACATACGTCTAATGAGTCTATAAAGAGTCAAATGTTCTAGACCTGTATATGTGTGTCCAGCTGAAACATGTCTCTGAGTCCGTCAGTATGTCAGTCTTCTACATTACTCCATCATTCTACAAATAGACACCTAGTGGAGCCTCAGCTCCAAACTAGGTGCTGGCAGCTGCCGTGTGTGTGTGTGTGTGTGTGTGTGTGTGTGTGTGTGTGTGTGTGTGTGTGTGTGTGTGAGAGAGAGTGAGAGGGTTTGTATACATAGTAGGGGCCAACTCTACCTCCTCTGAAATGGGCTGCATACAACATCCAGAGTCACTCATTCACATTTTTTTCCCCATCTAAATCCGGCTTTTTAAATGTGGGGGTGATTCGATTTGTTTCTAAAGTACATCATCTTATCTTATCATATTAGCTTTTTTTAAATCTGTTTCAAGACAAACATTGTTGTGTTGTGTATTCAGTACAGTGTGACTACCATGAAAGGCTTCTGTCACTCAAAACACCCTCACTTTTAAACCCTATTTAAACAATTCAAGACTTCTGAAATGAAGAGCATAATGAGCCAAACATTTCGCGGGGCACCATCTAAAGCTTCCAGAGCGTTTTTCCAAAATAGAACAATGACTGTAGAAAACCCGTCGTTATCTGGGGTTGTGTTGGGATTGGGAATCTCATCCACTGGGAACTGGTGTTGAGTGACTGGGGTACAATGGACAGAGGGTGGTGCTTAACAGGAAACACACGTAATCTTTCCTCCTGATTACAGACATTGCCATGTTGCAGGTTGTTCCACCCTAAAATAAGAGCTCAAGAACTGCGCCCTTGTTCATATTTGATTTAGACTAAATTAAACCTTAACATTGAAGATTATTACTGGTAAACATACTTTTCAACAAGGGGGATAGAACAGAAAAACAGTCCAGCACGCCCTTTTCTCTTACTCACTGTTACACATACAAACTAACTAATAGCAGAGACACGGTAATAAATTAAAGTTGCATAACATGGAAAGTTTCTTCCAATATAATAGACAAAAGACAAAACATGATCTTGCATCTGTTTAAACAAACTCTGTTGTGATAGTTTCCAGTTTGCAGTATTTCTGACCACAGTGCCAACCACCAACCATAGTAAAGAAAGAGTGGAACATTAGATAACATAATAAAATAATATAATAATTTATACATAAGACTAATATAATAAAATATTAATTGAATCCGCCCTGGCTAGATCCAGGTCCAAGCTTGTTTTTCAGAAACAACTCTATTTTTGTCTTGGTCTTTACTTCATTACCAGAGTAGTGACTTCACCCTTGTTCATACATACAGCTTTACTCAAACATGACTGTGTTTAGTCAGAACACAAAAATCACATCTATTTCCTATTAGGGGAAAAAAAGGGGCATCTTTGTCTTGCGTGTTGAATATCGTAGACATTGTCATACTAGCAAAGCTTAAAAAAAAACACTGCTTGGGCTCCCGAGGCATCCGAGACAGAATGGATAATGTATTGTTGTGACAAGGGATTAAAACAGAAAACTGATCGATGCTCACTTTCATTTGTCCCACGTCTGTCCGACAGAACCACTATTATAGCATGCTGTCTGAACGCTGCATTAGATTTAGTGTTAGACATACTTACAGGCCCAGTGTGTAACATTTAGGAGGATCTATTGGCAGAGATGGAATATAATGTTCATAGGTATGTTTTCATGAGTGTATAAACACCTGAAAACAAGAATCGTAGTGTTTTCATCAGATTGGAATGAGACGTTGTTATCTACAGTTATCTCCACCATGTTGAGCCATGTTTCTACAGCCGCCCAGAATGGACAAACTAAACACCGTCTCTAGATAGGGCCACTGTAGTTTCTCCTTAACACTAGGTTGAGTCAAGGGGTTTCAGATGGTTGCAACCTGAAATCTCACTGTTAGGTGCCACTAAATTACACACGCTGATCATTTAAGGTGATCTTAAAGGAAAGTAGGCTTTTTTCACATTACCGGTATATAATGTTTCTTAAATATTAGTTAAATATTAAAATTCTAGTGTAGTAATTTGAGTGTTTTCAATGCCTGAGAGAGAGAGAGAGAGAGAGAGAGAGAGAGAGAGAGAGAGAGAGAGAGAGAGAGAGAGAGAGAATGTGAGTGTCGATATGAATGTCAACCTGAGCTTAAAAATGGCTTCAGCAACTGTCAGCAGTCGACAAAGTGTCTCTGGAGTGTTCCCTCCCGTAGGATAGGATTTTGAGACTTCCTCGTGGGGTCATTAAAGGTCACTGGAGTGGTCACAGGTCAGGTCACCAGTGCCAAAGCTTTGGAAAATGAGGTAGGAAATATACCGTGCCAATGAACTGACCTCTGTAGCCATTATGGAGGTAGAGTGATTAATTTCCTAACAGAGGCTGGTTTGTCCACATCATCTACTGCAATGATTCTCAACAATAAATGTGGGCTTGGCTCCCACGGTCAGAAATATTTAACATTAAAACACACTGACAAGCATTTGTCTCTTATCATTTTCTAATTAGAAAACTAATTAGAAAAGGTATTAGGTAGGCTAAACCTTTGTAGCTTCAAATTTAGAATAAGATAAGAAAAAAAAGATTTTTACAGAGAGGCCAAAAGTGTTGTACCTGATTAAGTTGTCTTTGAATTCTTAGTTTCCCACTTAAAACTCTACTAATGATATATTTTCTTAATATATATATTTTTAAGGATGGATAAGGCTATAAAATATAAATATATCATCTACTTATCTGTACTTATTTCTGTCTTTGTACACCCAAAAGTATCCTGTTCAGATTAATATTATTATTAATATTATCTTATACCGGATTCCTCATTTCAGTGTGGTTTACCAAAATATACAAAATGTATAAATAAGATATAAGTCTGATAATTGTTCTGTCATAATCTTTAAATTATAAACAGACAATCCTGCAGTTAAATTAAATGTATATGAAATACATTTTGTCTTGAGGTTGGCTGAATGGATCAGTGTCAGCAGATTACATTTGAACATTTTCAGACCCTGACTCTCAACCGGTGCAACACAAACAGATTCAGGCCAGAGAAACAAATCAAACACACCCAACTCTCTCTCTCTCACACACACACACACACACACACACACACACACACACACACACACACAGTGCCCCTCACACACTGTGTCAACAGCAACCATGGCAACACAGACATGAGGGCTGCTGGGAAGGCACAGAGAGTTTGCACACTAACACACACCACACACACACACACACACACACACACACACACACACACACACACACACACACACACACACACACACACACACACACACACACAAACACTGATTCAGTGACTGTGCAAACATAATTCATGACTAACATTTCCTTTGTTTTGCACTTTTTGTTCCGACGCCCATTTTGACCTGAACTATCAAGGGTCCAGTTCCACTTCACTGTACAGGACAACCTGGAACACATACAGCTTAAAGGAGTGTAACAATAACACATAATATGTACTTTCTACTGCTACTACTTAATACTGTAAAGTAACTAGAAATGTATTATTTTAAACACTTAAAACACTTATTTTACGAATGTAATTGGTAGTAAGGGGCTAGCAGGTTCATTTACAGGCTTACTTAAAGCTGCTACACCTGAAATGTTGCTAAAGAAAATGATTCACTTCAACATGTTGGACATGATTAAGTTTACTTACAAAACACTTGAAACCATGGTG